TTTAGTAATGTTGGATCTGAGTGCTGCGTTCGACACAGTCGACCACGAGATCCTCATGCAGAGACTAGAGCACTGGGTGGGTGTCACTGGGACTGCCCTAAGTTGGTTTAGGTCTTACCTAGAAGACAGGAAATACTTGGTTCAGATAGGAAACTGTGTCTCAGATCATATGGCTCTGACCTGCGGAGTGCCACAGGGATCAATTCTGGGGCCTCTTCTGTTCAATATTTACATGCTGCCGTTAGGTCAGTTAATACGCTCCAACAATGTATCCTACCACAATTACGCTGATGACACTCAAATTTATGTCTCACTTACTGCAGGAGAACATGGACCAGTGGAATCACTCCTTCACTGTACTCAACAGATTAGTGATTGGATGCAAAATAACTTCCTTCAGCTAAACGCAGACAAAACAGAATTGATTGTCTTTGGTCCTCAGAAACAAAGAGAGAGCGTTATTCGTCACCTCCAGTCTCTCTCCCTGGAACCTGTAGGCAAGGTCAGAAACCTAGGAGTTATAATGGACTCAGACTTAAATTTTAACAGTCATATCAAATCAGTAACATCAGCAGCATTTTACCATCTGAAAAACATTGCCAAAATTAGAAACATAGTGTCTAAATCAGATCTGGAGATTCTCATCCATGCATTTGTCTCCAGTAGGTTAGACTACTGCAATGGCCTGCTCACAGGTCTCTCCAAACAGGCTGTAAAACAACTGCAGTATGTCCAAAATGCTGCAGCTCGAGTCCTGACCAGGACCAGGAAATATGACCACATTAGTCCAGTTCTCAGGTCTCTGCACTGGCTTCCTGTGGCTCAGAGAATAGACTTCAAAGCAGCACTGCTTGTGTACAAGTCTCTCCATGGCCTCGCACCAGGGTACTTAAGCGACTTGTTAGTCCCATATGAACCGACCCGGACTCTGAGGAGCACAGGAGGTAGCCTCTTACTGGTTCCAAGAGTCAGAACTAAACATGGGGAGGCAGCGTTTGAGATTTATGGAGCTAAAATCTGGAACAATCTTCCTGAAGATGTGAGGCTAGCATCTACTCTGGCAATTTTTAAATCAGGGCTAAAAACTGTTCTTTTTAGCTGTGCATACGGCTGAAGGATTTTATTGATACATACTCTTTTTTTTTTAATGCATTGTGGTTATTTATTATTTTAATCCCGTGTGTGCTTTTAATATTTTAAGTTTTTTTGTTTTTTTTTTTGTTTTTTTTGTTTTTTTCCATTATTTGTGATTTTATTCTGTTTTTAATGTATTTATTGATGTCTCTGATTTGTGTGATATTATGTGGGTTGTGAGGCGCTTTGAGTGGCCTTGTGTTGGAAAGGCGCCATACAAATAAAGTTGATTGATTGATTGATTGAAAGTCCGTCTGACAGGGGGCTCAGCGAGACGTTCCCAGCAGACCCTCACTATCCGCTTGGGTCTGCCAGGTCTGACCGGCTTCTTCCCCTGCCTTCCCCAGCGGATCCAACTCACGACCAGGTGATGATCGGTTGACAGCTCTGCCCCTCTCTTTACCCGAGTGTCCGAGACACGCGGTCGAAGGTCAGATGATACGACAACAAAGTCGATCATCAACCTCCGGCCTAGGGTGTCCTGGTGCCACGTGCACTGGTGGACACCCTTGTGCTCGAACATGGTGTTCGTGATGGACAAACTGTGACTGGCACAGAAGTCCAACAACTGAACACCGCTCGGGTTCAGATCAGGGGGCCCGTTCTTCCCGATCACCCCTGTCCATGTGTCACTGGCGCTTCCCACATGGGCGTTGAAGTCCCCCAGGAGAATAACGGAGTCCCCGGGCGGTGCACCGTCCAGTACCCCTCCCAAGGACTCCAAGAAGGCCGGGTACTCTGCACTGCTGTTAGGCCCGTAGGCCGTCACAACAATGAGAGACTTGTCCCCCACCCGGAGGCGGAGGGACGCGACCCTCTCATTCACCGGGGAGAACTCCAACAAGTGGCGGCTGAGATGGGGGGCAATGAGAATGGCCACCCCAGCTCGCCGCCTCTCCCCGCGGGAAACACCAGAAAAGTGGAGCGTCCAACCCCTCTCAAGTTGGGTTCCAGAGCCCAAGTTGTGTGTGGAGCTGAGGCCGACTATCTCTAGTCGGTATCGCTCAACCTCCCCCACGAGCTCGGGCTCCTTCCCCCCCAGTGAGGTGACGTTCCACGTCCCAAGAGCCAGATGTTGTGTGTGCGGACTGGGTCGCCGAGGTCTCTGCCTTCGACTGCCGCCCAGTCCTCTCAGCACCGCGCCACCACGGACCCCTCTGCAGGTGGTGGGCCCACAGGAGGGACTGCCCACATCGTCCCTTCAGGCCCCGTGGGCTAAGGCCCGGCCACCAGGCGCTCGCATACGAGCCCCGACCCCAGGCCTGGCTCCAGGGTGGGGCCCCAGCTGCGCCATGCCGGGCGACATCACTTGAGACACAATCCCAAACCACTTAATCTTTTGTCATTTTCCTTTTTTGTTTATCATTGTTTTTTGTTCAGATTCAGAAATACTGTTAGAAACCATATATTTGCCCACGAATCTGTAAGAAAGTTGTGACATTCTTTAAATTCTTCAATTTTTAGGTCTTTCTGTAATACCTATCTGTTCTATTACGTCAGCAGTTAGCCATCACCATTCATTGGATCCTTTCTTTTATTTTCTAACTTTGCTGATTCACCCTGCTTGGTTTTTGACCTATAATAGAGACAGATTTGGTTCAACACTGCCGGCCTGGTAGAGACACGAGCTCGATCGTAACTTAAATGTGCTTTTAGATTGTCTGAAGCGCCTTTCCCCCTGAGGTTTGTGCCCGAGGACGTCTGGCTCCGTACATGAATTATGAACTATGAACCAGCAGCTGCCCAGTGGTACCAGACAGTGGAGGGGAGGGGGCTGCAGAGAGAGCTCAGATGGTCTCATGTGTCAAAGGGCATTTCCATTGTGTGAGTGCACGCAGTTGTTTGTGGAGGTGCTTTGGCTTCATGTGTCGGGTGGTGTGTGGATGATGGTATGTGGACAGGTGGGTCTGCAACAGGAGGCTATGCCATGTCAGCACTTTTCAGAAAGAGGTTTAACAAGTAAATAAGCCTACTATACTGGAAATAACAATGACATGCATAATTTTATCTGTATTTTTGTCTGTAGTATATTATTATTTTATCACATGCATTATTGTCTCAATGACTGGATGTTCCAACATGTGGATTGTTCTCTGGTATGAATATGTTTGTCCAACCTCGTCTCAGTTAATCAGTGATGTTGTTTTTATTTAAAGCTGTACTGAACTGTTTTGTTTGTTTCATAAATACATTAGTTTTAGTTCTCAACAAATATCACAACAAATATTCCTATTGAAGTAAATTTTTGTGAACAAATCAGAATGTGGTTTTATCGTATTTGAAAACATTTTGTCTTTTACATACTGAGAGCTGAAAAAGCTGTTTGCAGACTTGACAGAGGCAAAAAAAAAATACATGGTTGTGAAAACTAGCAATAGGACCAAACTGAAACATACTGTTATTTTTATTACATATGTATCTTTATTATTATTCATATTATAATTATTATTACGATTGATAGTATTGCCATTAATTTGGGTTTCAAAGTTAACTTCTCCAGCTTTAGCAATAATATCTTTTACTTTAATCTTTTACTTTAAGCTCTTAGTCCAATAAAAAGTATTATCCATTTGATCTCATATTGACTCATTTCATATTGACTATTTGAGTCAATACTGAGAATCTTATGAGGTGATGTTCCTTCCAGCACATATCTTTTTCAATTGCATATAAAAGCTCTCCGTCACTAAGCCGAGGCCATTGTAAAGAGCTTCTATAACAACCACCAAGGGCGTTGTTTGTGTAAAAGTAATTGAGTTATGATTGTCAAGAGTCCGACCAGACCCTTCACTATGTATAATATGAAACGGCTCAAAAAGGGAAATGGGACTGAGTTATTCCTTCTTTTTGGTATACACTGTATATATTCAGAGTTGCCAGGTCAGTCATAAGAATGATTTGACGCTTCTGCCTCGAGGGAGAGACATGGAGGGGGTTTCTCTGGGTGAGGTCCTTGAGAAGTTAATGGCTAATCAGCTGATTGCTTTCAGGAGCAAACGTGTATTTTAAAAATGTTCAGCTTTTCGGTCTGGGCCGGGTGCTTTGAGAACACGGCAAACAACCTTCATTTATAAACCCATTCAGTTGTATTCTTCCAGTTGTTGCATCTTGTCAATGCATGTGGTATTGACGCTATTGATCTTGTGATGCTTGTTGACAGACTCAAGAAAAAAAAACAGCCCTTGGTTACCGTCTGCTCCAACCACAGTCAGCCCACCAGAAAAGATGTTAGCAGCACCTTAGTCATGCCAAGATCTTAAAAAAACGGCCCTTGTGCTGTCACTTTACTGTAAATGTCATGCTCCTAATATAGACAAATGAGATTCTTCATTTTATTTGTGAATAATTGGATTTGAATAAATGTCACTGTGACAGTCTAATACATTCTTGTTTTATGGGATATTTGACATATGGAGGAAGACGGTATTTGAAGCCACAGAGAGAAAATCCTGCCCTTTTCATTTCTAACTTACATGGCCCCTGGTAAACTCTCTGGTCACTGTTTTATCAATGTGGAGAGGAAACATATTGAAACTGGTATTGAAATGTCAATGAAATTAAAGTAAATAAGTTGCGGATCAGTGATCCCTCATCAGACTGGGCGATGGCGGGAGAATATCCCAAGACATAAAATGAGATGTCATTTTTCGTTTTTTGACATGCACAGTGAAAGTACACGTACTGTCATCAAAATTCCATATAGAAACAACAGGATTTTCCCCTGCACACTAACCTCCAGCCACAACACCTTCATTGGAGTCTGCTTCAAGAACTGAGTGCTGGTGTCGAGTTACAATGGCAACAAACTGGAGCTGAAGCAGGAGAAGACAATGGTTATGCCCCCGTCATCCTGACAGACTCTCTCTTCACCTCCTCATCTCCATCACCTCCTCATCGCATCCTCGCGCCTCCTTCATCTCCTCCTCTTGGACCTCATTCACCTCCCCATCATATCCATGGACCTCATTCATCTCCTCCTCTTGGACCTCGTTCACCTCCTCATCATGTTCAGGCGCCTCCTTCACCTCGTAATTATCATGCACAATCACTGAGAGACACCAGAGGACACCAGCCTTTACAATTTTAATGCATTGTGTAATTGTTTCTATCTTGTTTTGTGAGCACTTTGAGTTGCCTTGTGTATGAACTGTGCTCTACAGATAAACTTGCCTTGCTTTGTCATTAGTTCATCAGTAGTTGATGGCTTTGATCCACCCAGACCAGACCACAACAGTTTATTCCTACCTGCTGTGGGATGCTCATTTTTTAGTTTGAGAAATCTCTTTCCCTATTTCCGCTGCTATGGTTCTATTGTTGTTCCGTTCATAGTCTGTTTTTATTTACTTATTTACAGGAACATTATATTTCCATGGAGCACAACCTCTGTATAAAACCCCCAAGTAGCATAGCATTTTGGGTAGTTTGCTTTTCTAATTATGATTTAATTCATATAAAGATGCCAAACTATGCATTTTTTGAGAATCATGTCAAAAACCATGAAGAGATTCGTATTGTTCATCAGCGCTGCAAACAACACTGACTTTCAATGGGGTGGAAGCTACATTGCCCCCTAGTGGTTGTGGTAGTAATAGCAAAATACATTTCAGAATCTAACCATTTTTTAAAGGTTATATAAAAAGATGAATAGTAATATACACTGTAGGTTATACTACAACCAAGACAATTACGTTATTTTAACCATAAACTTTGGTTTTATACATTTTATTGTATATTTTATTTTGTTTTCTTCTCAGTCACATTTTTGCATCTGCTCAACTGCTATCTCCACTCTACACTCTATGTTTTGAGATCATGTTTATTTCAACACTCAAAATTCACACTTCTCAAATTCTTGTAAGACTGACATTGGAGGAGGGACTGTTGAAATATATAAGGATAACTCAAGCATATTGTTTTTCTTTTGTTATGACAGGTTTTTAGTGCAGCCCTCATTGGATCTATAATCTGTCTGGAGAGGTTCTTTTTAAGACATGGTGTCATAGTGCCATAAATAATAGGCTCATACTTAAATCTATTGAGCGACGAAGACACCAGTCTGAATCGGGGGCTGGCCTCTTTTCTACAATGGGGCTCCGTCTGTGTACATTATTGATAGGGCCTAAATTGAATGAGTCTTTGTTCCTCTTTGCGGATGGACATAGTGTGTGTCTGCAGCAGCACATAGTGGCAATAGTGGGGGGAGGTGGCATGCATCCCATCATGCATCAGGCCACTTCATCCATCACATTAAGAGGTGCTACATCAATCATTAACAAGTAGCCTCATGTTGAAAGGATGACTGACGGGTTGACAAATAACTCAAGATGAAGTGGATGCAAGGTGTGACCGGAGCATTTGCACCAATCATACAATTCATTCAAATAACAATAACGTGGTTTAGAACTATGAAAATACTTGACGGACTTAACTTAATTCTTGCTTCTTCATTATGCAAAGCTAGGGATTTTATACTTGCTTCTTCATAACGCTAAAGTTAGATATTTTATTTTATTTTAGAATAGAGTTTGGAGAAAATGTGAAGGTCTGGGATTGTGTCACATGCAGAAGTCATGTTTTATTGATGTTAAAGAGGCAGCGAACAATGTTTTTCAGAATGCATGTGATTTGAAACAAGAGGATTCAAGGTCCTCCTCCTTGTGACGGCGTTATGCTAGTTCGACCTTGAGATGACCAAAAAATTCAAGTAGAAAATCACCAGCTTGTGCATTCTGTCCATAAAATGAGTTCAGCTTTAACCACAGTTGCTTCAAAAGTGTTCTAAAAGATCCATAAATTATTGTTCATTTATCTTGTGTTGAGTGCTCCTCATTCCTACTGTTCTGTAACTGCGGATGCAACATTAAAATTTCCCTATTGTGGTTGGAATAACGGATCTCTTAATCTTAATCAAAACAAAGGAAGGAATGGGAAGGAGCTATTTCACCTTGATTCACAACAGCTCATGTTTATGGGATTAAGCAGGAGGAGCAGAGAGCAGAAAAGCTGTACATCAGAGCGGATGTGTCCTCTTTCCTGTTGCAGATATGGAAGTTAGTGTCCTTGTATAACTTAGTGCCCTTTATCTACATTTCAACTCTGGTGCTCTTGCACATTATTCAAGCTCTTTTTTGTATGAGTGGGTTATTTCTCTCTGACAACTTACTAAAAGCCACAATATTGATGTTTCTGTGAATAGTGTGACATTTCCAAAAGGTGAGAAATCATTGAGATTATCGCTTCATCAGGACACATGTTTCTACAGAGGATTACATTTGGCAGAAAGTGTGGAACTTTTCATTACTATTTCTTTTTTTGGATGGTTTGACATGCCTTTGTCCAGGAGCGATCCATTGTAAAGTCAGTGATGCCTGGATGGGAGTCAAATTATTTCTGAAAAATTGGTTCAGATAACAACTTGGTATGTTTTAACAAGTATTTTTCATACGGTCATTTTGTCAAGGAAAAGAAATTACTTGATTTCACTCTTAACAATACTAATACTCAAAGACGATGACATTATTAATTCACTCTGTACACAGAGATGGTAAACTACTACTGTAGACTGGTGGCAATGAGGCAACCAGCACATACGTACCTTTGTGCCCTCCAATCACTACCAATCATTCACGCACATACCAGACTCATACTAGCCTGGCCTAAGCCATCCGTAAACTCCAGTCAATGATAATTTCCCTACATGTACGTCTGGGTCTGATATTAGTGGCTGATATTAGTTACCTCGGTTGTGTCCCCTTCAACGATTCAGCCTGCGGAGGAGGCGGGTGTTGGTGAGTCAACAGTTTGCGCTGGATTTGCTGGTCGTAGTTTGGCAATGGCGGCGAATGCAGTAGTAAAGTAATCCGTTCTGGTTTGGCTCCCAAATATCAAGAATTTGAAGCCGGAGCAAAACGAATGTTCTTTACTCTTTCTGAAACGTCTGTATCGTTTACTTTTCTGGGGTGTAAATCACTATTTTTGGTACGATATATATTTCATAACATTATTGCATTTCACTTTAGGAACTTCAGAGTATTTACAGTCTCTTTTACTGATAGTGATAATGGACTTTGTGGCTGTATGGTATTTTGCCAGCTATCGTCTATCAATTTGCTGCATCATCCCTTTCAGGCCTATTAGCTGCGTGCCCTAGATTCTCATCACCTCATGGTTCAGACAGTCTGCGAGCTGGCCAAGTGTTTGTTGTATTAATATTGTATGAACACAACGGTTGTCAGAAACAACGGCTGTCAGAGGCGCTTGTTGTTCACATTGCAGGTTAATAAATGTTATGTGTACAAACCAAGTATTTTGAAGGAAGTACAGGTCTGTTGATGAGAGTACAAATACTGGGAAAAGAATAAAAACAAAACAGTTCCATCGTTATGTGGATGAACGATTGTTACAGAACATGTGTACCTGAGTCAGGTTTACCTTACTTACCGAAATGAGAGCGTTCTTATGGTTACTCCAAAATATTAGCCCTGGGTATTCTCAGGCCACTTTGTAGCTACTTTATGCTTGCAGTTATTGCCTATTTAGTAAAAAATAAAGAAATATGTAGCATGAGGAAATTGTGCCCAAGGATTGAACTAGACCTGTTATACTTTGTTATTTTCTTTTTTATCTATGTTGTCAAATTGTGTGTTTTAAGTGTAGCCCTAGATCCATGGTGTAGTGTTAAGAACATCTACAATTGCAATATACACAAATGTTGTCAATCATAACTAAATAGATGTCATTTACTAATTCAAGCTCCCTAAAGAGCTGTTGAATGTAGAAATGTAGACCTAGATCTATGGCCAAATAGGTCATTTGATTTCACAATGGCAGAAATATATGTTGTTTTGTTTTATGATTTGTTGTATGATTTGTTTCCGCTGACCTGAAGACTGCATGCTGATTTACCACGGTATTGGATACAGATCACAAAACAAATACAACTCAAGCATAAACAATTGTAAAAACATTGTAAACATATTTTCCAAATCTTCACATCACTCACTACTGTCCTGTCATATGAAGCTACATATTTTGAAGCTTCTTCTTTATTTATATAATGCATTTCACAGACCAAGGTCGCACAAAGCGCTACATTATTACTCATGCTTTATTTGTAGAGCATTGGTGGCTATGTCCCATCATGGGAAATTGTGTGTGTGCAGAACAGCAGCTCATCATCCAAATAATATAGAAAACATGCCACATGTCTATGTTGTAGCAGTATGTGATGCTTTTTTATGACCAGAATTGTGTCATTTTTATATGATAATTGATTTTTACAATAAATAAATGCAAAAATTGACTTTCCTCCCCCTGCTGGGCTTATTTCAGTATAGTTTTAATTTGATGTCACCCCAACATTATACTGTGTTGTACAGCGGCCCGGGTCAGCCCTGCTTCTATGAGACCCTTGCTCATTATCCCGTCCACACTCACTCCAGCCGATTAGCATGACTCTGACAGACTTTTTATTGGAAGTCACCATATTCCTAGAGTCCTCTGTTTATCCACCCGCCCTAAATTACAGCTGCTCCATCAATATTTTATGATTACCCTGTCTTCTAAACCTTATGTATAGCCCACAGACAGAATCATATGCATATTAATTAGCGAGGAAAATGACAGGCAATTACTCGTTCAGCCAGGCACAATAAAGAAGAAATGCCGAAGACAGGCATTGACAAAAGGTGGTGAGATCTTTCTCTTGCACGAAATGATCCTTCTATGTGAGAATTTGCTTTATAATTTACAGTTGCTAAACGTAAAGAGGTGGTGTGTAAGTTTAACACCCCATCGAAAACAATGCAGTACCAACACAACTTGAACTTTTAGACTTTTTGTCATGTTTACAACCACAAATAAACTATTTTACTTTTGTATTTAGATTTTTTTTTCCGAACGACTTCAAAATAACAGACAATTGTGAAGTGAAAGCAAGACACTGGTCTATTGTTTATTGTTAGCAGATGGATTTCCTCTGTTGTGGAAAGGTATTTTGGAATGTTCCAGAATGTACTGAGGTGCCCATTACGCGTGTTGTTTCGCTTTGAATTAGGGTTTTCAAAGTTTATCAACAGCGTAGTCACATCGTTGTGACATCCTCCAACAGGTTGCAACACAGACGTCCCTTGCTAGTATAGATAGATAGTCAAGTGAAGTCAATAGTTCAGTTTGGTTTGTATGGCCGTGTGGTCAGTATGGATTGCATACATTGATATTGTATACATTGACGGTTGACTTTGTCCTGTGATTATCCATATTCAATCTCATATGCATGTATTGGTAATAATAAAATTCAATTTGAGTCAATAAAGTCCCAATATTGGATTTTACTGGAGCTCAGAAAACTGCACACAAAATATCATCCAATCTGTTCTGTGAGCATCATTGCATCAAACAATTAATTCCTGCAAATTCCTCCTGGCTATTAACATTTTAGAGGATAAAGCAGCTGGATGCTAAAGGTTAATGTTCATGCCATTAGAGATAGAGCAGGCGTGCGTTTATTCCTGTTGGTTTAATTAAATTACAGAGAGGAGTCATAAAAGACATAATTATATGGACATACAGCTATGGGAGCGCTAATGGAGCACTATACCCACCATACCTTCCAGCTCAGCAGATTTAATTCTCCTCTCATGTTTCAAAGTGGGGCATCACTGTGTTTGTCATGGCCTACTTAACAACATAGGAAAAGGTAATTAGATCATTTGTCAAGCAGTTGATTTGCTGCTTGTTCTTGTGGCGTGATAACAGCAAAAGGCTTTTGGCTGAGTCACACAGATTGATGACAAAGTACTCCCACCAAAGCAATGTGTGGTGCATTTGAAGGAAAGAAAAACTGCACTTCTGTTATTCTTCATGACTTCAGCAGTCGATATTGGATTTCTGACTCTACAGGCTTCATTAAATGTTCAACTTTTATTAGTATAGCTCTGCTGGACAGGAAGCCATTAAACATAGTGATTATACACCCTCTAGTGGAAGATCGTTAGAAATTTAAGCCCAAACACTGTCCTGTTCATTTCAAATGAAACTAACAATAAAGGAACCATAATTCTATATAGTGTGTTACAAAGATTCTAAAAATACATATCAGCAATTTATTACAAGTAATTGAGTAATAACTAATGTAAAGACTTTAGATTGCTTTTCCTGATAAAATATTCAAATATGTCCAATAAAAAAATATCTCTGCTTTATCACCTTGACAGATATAAAGAAAACATATTGGACTTTTTGAACATGTAACCATCTTATAATATTGTTCCTCGTCAACCCAGACCCAGAGTTCTTTTTAGATCCATTTACACTAATACCAGGAAAGTCTGCGGCCTAAACATTTCACTTCACCCTTTCTGACTTAAAGCTCCTGTCTTAACCCTGAAACAGTATGATGTCATTGTACCACTATGACATCACACTCAGCAGTTTTCTGCCTTTTAAAACAAAATATATTCCTCCCTCTAGTGGCAACATAGGGAGTTACAGTTGTATTTGCCCTTCACACTTGTTTTACAATATTAATATTAATTATACTTAAGATATCATTCCACATTTTACAACATAAAATGATAAAGTAAAAAGTCCTTTTTGAATGGTCAAAAGTAATGCATTATATGTCTTCTTTAATGGTACAATTCATGAGACACACTAAATGAACACAAACCATGAAATAAACAAATAATGTTCTCAATTGTATGCATTGATAAAGCGAACAGGAATACATAAGTAGTAAAAAATTACAGATTTATTATAATCAATGCATAATGTCTCTTTCTAGTTTGAAAATATTTTCTGTGGCACCAACACGTTTGACCAACAAAAAATATGCTCTTTCTCTAGCTTTTCTATTCATAACCTGTGCTGATCAGCAGTAGCAGTGAACTGAGATGGCAGTGGTTTCACAAAAATCATCTTTAAAAAACAAGACTTATACATTTATTCAAAATAGTTCAAATATGTACAAATGCTTTGTGCCATTTCCCATTAGTAAGTGCATAGGTCTTTCTTTTTTGGTCATATTTTTTCCTTACAGCATTTTGGAAGTAATCTCTGAATAGACAAAGACTGTGAAGTTATCAAAAGAAACATTAAGTGCTGTTTTCATCGAGCGGAGTTGAGTTTGAAGGCGCTTCAGTGGATCCTTTTGTCAAACTCTTGTTAAGATTTAACCTCAGCTCATTTGCATCATTCACTGTCACTTACTCTGTCGCCACAGTTTCCTGCACAAGTATAGAACAAATAACATGGCTGCCACTCCGACCACAATAAGAACCGCAACAGCCACCGCCAAGCCCACCTCAGCACTCTGGCTTTGGTGCTGCACTTTGGTCAATCCTGCAGACAAAGCAAAGTGCCTCTGATCAAACGGGATTGAGGAAAGTAGATATAGTACAAAAAAAAAGTTTCACCAAATTGAGTCATTCATAAATTAGTGATCAAATGAAACACAAACTTACCTTCCAATGATACAGGATCTTTAACAAAGAAGGAAAGAAAACGCACATTTTAGGCAAGTTTGTTTTCACTTCTGATGTTATTTTGCATCACACGTAAAGTACACTGAAATGATAATTCTTGTGTGCTGTGTTTTTGGGATGGGTGTACTATTGTTTTAAGGAGTGTAAATAATTGTACATTTGAACAAAGGAAGTGGCTGAAGGCGATACATAATAAACTCACAATCGTCTGTCTTGGCCTTGATGGACACTGTGAGCTCATAGGGCCGGCTGATGTCCTCGACCGTACTGGTCACGGCCCTCCTCCTCCTTGCGCTGCATTGCTGAGAAGAGACAAATGTGTTGTGAATGTAATTAATCTAACATTAATGTTACGTCAGTGTAATGTTAGTGTAAGAAAAACAAACTAACTTGACTTTCTTTCCTCATGCTTGAACAATCTCGATATTCAATTACTTTAGATCTTCTGTAATCTAAAACCTGGGTTGTTTTTTTTTTTGAATGATACTTAAATTGTGCGTACTGTATTTAAGCCAAACATTGTGAGCAGTAACAAATGTGTTGTTATTGCGAGTTGTCTCTAACTCCTTCTTTTCAGTCACTGGTGCTCCTGCTGGATCAACGTCTCTCAACATTAATGCTCATATACAGATAATGGAGATTGGATCTTTCAATAGCCTCAGTGCTTCAGCTGCTAACCTTGAAGGTGCTGCAGGTGGAGCGTTCGCACAGGCGGGTGATGCAGTGGAGGTAGTAGGTGGAGACTGTTTCATTCTGCTGCTCGGTGAAGCGGAACGCCTTGAAGGAGTAACGTGCTCTTTGGCTATCTCCGTTCTCCAACATAGTGGTCAAGGGGTCTATGGAGCATCTGTTTTCAAACACAAAGTACAACTGAATGACAATTAAGTAGAATGTTATTTGGATTCCTTATTTTGTTGCATTGTCCTTACGAAACAAAAAGGTTGAAGACGGTGGAGTTGGTGGGATAGGGAGACAATGAGGCGTAACAGCGGTCCAGGAGCACGTTGTATCTGTTTGAACATAAAGAATCCACATGTTTATCCAGTGTCATCAATTCTACCACAACTACTTGCATGGATGTTACTATCTGCACTCTTGGGATCCTGCTTTTGTGGATTTTGTATGTATATATTGTTTTAAATGGGAAAGTGTACACCAAATGGCTTAGCAACGAATTTAGTAACAAACTTATGTAAAGATTGTAGAGAGAGAGTTCTGGGCCTCTCTGCTTAGAGTGCTGCCCCAGTGACCCAGCAAAGAGTAAAAATGCAGCTGAAGCGGAGGTTCAGGATGGTAGACTACCTACGTTATCACACCAGGCTTGACCACGCCTTACTCAGCCTGTCTTAATCAACTCCCCGCAGCCGTGTCAATCAAGCCAGCGTTTAAGAGAACAGCAGAGCACAGCTCACCAAACGGACTTCAAGCTGCAACGGGTTGCTCTTCGTCACTTTGTTACTCACGCCTCGCACATTGTTCGTCCTGCATGGTCGCGGCTCCTCTTCCACATCACATGTTGGGGGCTGTGCGCCATGGTCGCTGTGTCTCCACCGCGGCTCACCGCGGGTCCTCTCCTGCGGACTCGCTGCCGCTCGTCTCCCCGTGGCCGCTGCTGCTCGCGGCCAGGCGTTACTCCGCGCACCCTGCCGCTTCCATACCGGGAACGGGACTTCTGTCTGCCTGCCGTTGTCTGCCTGCGCTGTCCACCCTTCTCCATGCCTCCACTCACGGTACAGTGTCGGTTTCGTTGTTTTCCGCACTACCATGAACTGTACTGAACTGCGGCGTGTCAGTTATTCCCGCCGAATTGGATCGCAGGCTGTGTTTTTACCCGATGCATTGCTCTTCAGGCTGTTCATTTTACCATCCGCACTGGCAATTAGACCGTCCGTTTTCACCATGGACCGCACATTTTAATCACTGTGTTGGCCTTCTTGGCTGTTCGTTTTACTCATGGGCTGAACATTCTACACACTGCAGTGACCTCCAGGCTGTCCGTTTTACTATGGACTGAACATTTTACCCACTGCATTGACCTTCAGGCTGTCAGTTGTAACCATGGACTATAACATTTGTCGTCTGCATTGGCCTTCGCTCTGTCTAATTGACCGTGGACTGTAAGTTTTGCCCACTGCATTGCTTCCGGGCTGTCTGTGTCTGATGAGCTGCTCTGATTGGTCGGAGCGCGGCCGAGCCCCTCTGTGCTGTTCGTTTGCCCATTGCTTTGGCCTTACGCCACACTTCAACGCCACACTTCAACGACGCCACGCTTCGACGACGCCACGCTTCGACGACGCCACGCTTCGACGACGCCACGCTTCGACGACGCCACGCTTCGACGACGCCACGCTTTGACGATGCCACGCTTCGACGACGCCACGCTTCGACGACGCCACGCTTCGACGACGCCACGCTTTGACGACGCCACGCTTCGACGACGCCACGTGGGTGGCCGCACGCTTCGACGACGCCACGTCGGTGGCCGCACGCTTCGACGACGCCACGTCGGTGGCCCCACGCTTCGACGACGCCACGTCGGTGGCCGCACACTTCGACGCCACGTCGGTGGCCGCACACTTGGACTCCTCCTCCTCGACGGCGCCGCACGCCTCAACAACGCCGCACGCTTTGACGCCGCACGCTTTGACGCCGCACGCTTTGACGCCGGCGCACGTCGGCGGCCGCACGCTTCATCGCAGCTCGCCGGCGGCCGCACGCTTCATCGCAGCTCGCCGGCGGCCGCACGCTTCATCGCAGCTCGCCGGCGGCCGCACGCTTCATCGCAGCTCGCCGGCGGCCGCACGCTTCATCGCAGCTCGTCGGCGGCCGCACGCTTCATCGCAGCTCGTCGGCGGCCGCACGCTTCATCGCAGCTCGTCGGCGGCCGCACGCTTCATCGCAGCTCGTCGGCGGCCGCACGCTTCATCGCAGCACGTCGGCGGCCGCACGCTTCCACGCCGGTGGCCGCTGTTTGACGCCACGTCGGTGTCCGCCTCCTGCCGCATTCTCGACGCCACGCTTCGACGCATTTGCGTGCTCTCATCCATTCATCGTGGGACCAGTGTCGACCATGGACACGTGTTCCCTATTGGTGGGTGAACAATCCAACGCTTGGAGAGTTCTGCTTCACAATGACTGGAAGAGCCGGCATCGAAGGATCAGGTCAGTGGTCTGACTGAAGACGTGGTCTGACTGAAGACGTGGTCTGACACTGCCCGTTGGTCCTTTTCACTCGAGTAATAGTGGTTCGAGGTTTCTCTTTTCAGCTTCGCAGGAACGTGATGCCGCAACGCCGCACCAAAGCTCTGCTACGACGCCGCGACGGTGGCCTGCTGCAACGCTAACCTGCTAAGACTGCATGAGTACTGTTCGGCGTGGTCTTCAAACCTGGCCGACTATCTTCCCCAGGCCGCACTCATTGGATTTTGGTGTGCAGCACTGCCCGCCACGGTTTGCGTGCACTCTGAGTGGCTGTAGGCGGTGCTCCTTCTCATGTTCCCCAGGCATATTCTCTCCTGGTCTCCTGGTGCGGCTCCTGCCGCCGGGCCTGTCTCACGCTTCGCCTTACCTGACGCACCCTGGCCCTCATTCTGACCGGGCCCTTGTGCGTTGGTTTTTGGGGGTCCAGAGATCTCCTATCGAACATCAATCTTCCTGGGTAAGTGTACTTCATGAATCTCATTTTCACCTTCTAGTCTCCCCAAGTGGAATCATGTTCGAATATCAGCGCTCTAAACACCAGCAGTTCATCTTTCATTCAGCATTCTCCTTTCCCTCTCGCTGCACACTCTCAGTCTCTGGACATCAGCATCGTGGGTACTGCTGTCACTGCCTCATCTACATCGGCATTAAATACATTCTCTAAAATCCACTTCGAGTCACACTGCTCCACCCTCATAAGAAGATCCTTAAAGGAGTATTGGCAATGGTCCTTGTTCTGTACAGTAGTTTAGGTCCTGGACGACTAGCCTGTTTGTCCGTGGAGTGGATCCCTCTCTCATGTAGGGTCTTCCGAAGGTTTCTCACTTTTTTCCCCACGGGGTTTTGTGAGTTTTCCTTGCCATGCAGGAGGGTCTGGACAGTAGTGTCCAACTAGAAGGCCCGTGGTGATGATCCAGGATACTTTACATTCTACAACATGTATGGACATTTTATCAACATTCATAGACTATAATTACTCCTTAAACAATCCCTTGACGACCCCCTGGTCTGAACAAATTCAAAACCTGCGCTCCCTGCATGTAACCTCTCTTCCTTTCTCTACATCCGCCACTCGTTCCGGATAGGAGCAGCCACTCGGGCTGCTGCCCTGGGACTCCCTCAATCATCTCTCCAGGAGCTCGGTCCCTGGTTCTCTACCACATTCATCCGTTCTGGCAGCCCAGCGCCTCCTCTCATATAAGTACGTATGCATCTCCTGGTGGTGGCAACTCCTCATTCCAGCACGCCGCGCACTCGAGCCGAGCTCGTGCGCGTGCCAACGCCTAGCGCTAGAGCCGAGCTCGCGCACGGACATTACGCCGCGCACTCGAGCCGAGCTTGTGCGCGTGCCAACGCCTAGCGCTAGAGCCGAGCTCGCGCACGGAAACAGTCACTCACACCATGCGCCTTCCATAAACGCAGCAACCAAGTTGTGGCAAACGCATCGCTAGCCAAGCTCTCTTTTTGGGGATCATGATCTGCACCCAGGCGCAGATCTCTTCAGAGCACGGCCACAGCCGGGGCCTAAGCTCCAAACCAATAAACAAACTCAATCCATAAAATAAACAACTCTTAAACGCATCTCGTCTCTTGTAGTCTCTCCAGGTTGAACTAAATGGATGGTGGATTGTGAAATCATTTGTTTTCTGTGCATCAACACCATAGTCCATACAGGTGAATAGGTGGAAACGTTCTCTTCATTGTAAAGCATTGTGCCTTGAGATACAATGAAGAATATATCAGAGCATTTATGAGTAGTCCATCCATCCATCCATGTTCTTCTCCTTCATTCATTGCCGGGTTGCGGGAGCAGCAGTCTAAGCAGAGACTCCCAGACTTCCAGACTTCCTCCAGCTCATCCGGGGGGACCCCAAGGAAATCTCAGGCCAGCTGAGAGACATAGTCCCTCCAGCATGTCCTGGGTCTTCTCCGGGGTCTCCTCTCGGTGGGACGTGCCCACCGGAGGCATCCGTAACAGATGCATGGAGAAGCAGCGGCTCTACTCCGAGCTCCTCCCGTGTGACTGAGCTTCTCGCCCTATCTCTAAGGGAGCGCCCAGCCACTCTGCGATCTCGTTCTTTCGGTCATTACCCAAAGCTCATGACCATAGGTGAGGGAGGGAACGAAGTGTGAACGGTAAATCGAGAGCTTTGTACTTTGGCTCAGCTCCCGCTTCACCACGAAGGTACAGCAACCGCATTACTGCGCACGCTGCATGGATCCTTCTTTCAATCTCACGCTCCATCCTTCCCTCACTTTTGAACTCCGAGATACTTGAACTCCTCTACTTGAGGAAGGACCATTTATGAGCCATGTGTGAAAAATAAGATGTTTATATGCATATGCTCCTGATGTCTGAAATGAGTAGGAGTCGTATCTCACAGCATACCTTCATCTGGCCTAACTTTATGATCTAATGCTTCATGGAAAACTTACTTACTGCGCTGTCAAATTGGAGGCCTTCACTTGAACATAGATGTCTGTCCTCAGTTCGACACCTTGGGCTGGCATTATGAGGCGAGTGGTGTAATTTTTATCCTTGGAATGAAGGTAGAAACATATTATGTGTAGTCTTTAGAATTACCGAGAAAGCAGTGCAGCACAATATACCTCGAAAAGTTCCATGCTGAGTGTACTGGCAAAACTTCCATTTTTGTCCTTTAGAGCAATGGAGGACGATGAACTGAAGCAGCAAGAACAGAGTTAAACATGATTGTGTCATGATGGTCCTAAAAAAGGCTGTGGACTTACATATCCACTCGGGTGTTGTTGACGAGGTACTCCAATGGGTACGCACAGGAGTAGTAATACTTGAGCTCTGCATTGTAAGTGATGGTCCCAGTGGTGGGGTCAAAGGAGCGAATGATGCCGCTGATATTAACATTCTGAATGTTCGAAAATTGAGAAAAGATTCCTGTCCCTATATTACTGGTCGTCTGTGAAATCATAGAACACACAAACGTATTACAATTAAAATGTGTTGAAGAGAGGATATCAAAACAAAAATGTCAACAACATTTCAGTCTTCTATTAAATGGTAATTCCAATTGATAGGAGACTGCAATCTTGTTGTTATATCTTATAGAATACACAGTAGTTTCTTAGTTTCAAGTAGCCTGAAATGTGTTACAGAAAAGACATTTGTTTTGCAAAGGACTTTAAAACTTTTTTAATGGCATGGTTCAACTTGTAATTGCAATTTATGTGCTATTCTTGCTGCTCAACTTGGATGTTTGGCTCAACAACAAACATAGATAAAAGAGGTTTGCTCATGGAGAAACAGCTCTGTCTCATCCATACCTGAGTCTATGGTATTACGACAGATTTGTAAGCTTTTCTTAAGATTTATTCCCCTAAAGAAAGGTTGTTTTTCAGCTTGACATGATACTCACCCTAAAGATGCTTCCGCAGGCATCTCCCTCTCTTATAGGAAACCTGAATTTGGCCACCGGAGGAGAGACTGTGGTGTCCAGTGTGGCCTGACAGGCTGCATCACTAACACGGTTTAGTCTCAGTAAGCTTTCGTTGTAGCCCGTGTAAATGACAGGGCAGATCTGAATAGCCAGTTCAATGTCAGTCGTACCACACATCACTGATATATCTGTGTATGCTACAAAGTGATACAACAAACAATATGTTAGTTATGATAATAGCTTGTATCTGCATAATTCACCAGATATAATCTATAATAACTTCTAAATGAGTCATGGCTAATCTCACTGGCAGTTGTAATGTATTGCTAATGGTAAAGTTGAAATATTTTATATTATGAAGTATTGGATGGAAATAATGAGATACCTGGCTGCCTGGCCTCAGTTCCACATTGGTTGAGTGTGAGGGCCGTCTGGCCCACAGAACACAAAGAGGTTAGTGTAAGCAAGATGAATAAAGCCATCTCACTGCTCTGCCTCAGAAACGCTGCAGCAAAAACACACACTTCAGTAAGGTACAGGTCCAGTGCAGAGGTCCAGTGGCTGAACAAACATTATCCAATGCATGAGTGTGGAGGGTCCAGGACCATACCTCCTCTGTGTCTTTGAGGTTTTTGAAGGTTTCATTAAGCTAAGGGCAGTTTTATATACACCTGTTGTGAGGTCTCACTCTGCTGTAGGATTGGACGGAAATAGGGTCACCGTCACTTTGGTGGAGTTGCGTCTGTTTGCTAAACAATTCACTTTTGTGGCAATGGTGCTGTGGACCTTTCCTCAGGCCACACGATGAAACCAAAGACACTCACCTTCAAAGTATGTGCCTTAACAACATCCACACCGTTTTGTTACGTGTTGTGAAATGCAACCTGTTTGCCTTCAAATATGAAACTTAATAAAGGCAGATATGTGTGCTTTTACTCCATGGGGACCTCATACAATGGGAAAAACAAGGACTGTATTTTTGAGTAGTTGAATGATTTATTGTAGGTATGACCCTCTGTTTAAGATCTATATCAGTATATCACAAAACTCAAACAAGTCCAAAAACCTCTAGGTTTGGACATGGGGTAAGCCTTTCACGGTATGTGTAATAATTGATGATTTATAATTTGGATTGCATGTGAAGCTAATTTTCCTCTCATTTGCGAGGATATGTAGGATGAGATCCGAACAGCCGATGCAAACAGAGGTTCTTCAAAGGGCTTAAGGCACTAATATGAAAAAAAAAAGTATTGTTTATAACATTGTTATTGGACACTTTCTGTCGTAAGGTGATACACACTTGGCAGCACGGTGTTTCCTACCACTATAAACATGCAACGTGCAATAATTATGAGTGTGTGAATGGATGGTGTTGGTCGAGGGCTGTGATGCGCCAGTGTGTTCAGCGTCTTGCTTTTGTTGAATGGAAAAATATCTGAACTCTGAACTTGTAAAGCTCATTGGGTGACCTTGGTCTGTAAAAAGCACTATATAACACATTTGAGTCCTTATTGTCCTGCCTCAAAGTTTGCATATTTATTCTTTATTAAAGCTTTAGTGACTCTGGAATATGTTCGCCAACACAACACCACCACGGCATATGGAAACCGGATCCTGTCAGGTGAGCCACCTGGGAAGGGGAACTCTCATTGGGGTCAAGGAGGAGGAATGGGTGTTTGTTCCAATCTTTTGTCCAATGTGTGAAACCACTACTCCAAACATGCTATTAGAAGTCATATGACGTGATGTACCAAGACCAAACAAGCTCCCTGGTTCAGGTTGCCTTACAGGGGCTCGTCACCCAGGTTGTATATGTTAAAAAAAGATGGTTACATTTTTACAATTACTTTTATTAATAAAAAACCTCAAAAATCTAATATTCCTTGAATATGCAAACAAATCTCTCCCTGACAACATGCCACGAAAGTTCTGAAAATGAAATAAACACCTTATTTTAATTGTAATTTCAAACTAATTCCGACTAATACGAATCAACACAGGCCTTTCCCTTAGCTGCTTCCCCTCCAGAGGTAGTTGCAGAATGGGAGCAGATTGCTCATACGCTTTCTTCAGTTATCAGTAGTCCTGGCAGAATGAATGCATCACAAAATGTCGTTGAAATCGGGGATTAGAGAGATAAGAGCAGCGCCACCGGTCAGAAAACATCCAGAGCTGAACACATAAGAGACACACATTCATATATCGGGCATCGACAGGGCAAATCAATGTGGCAAATCTGAAAGATTAATGCAGCACTTATCAAATGGACCCAGGCAGGGACTGCAGCGCTCATTCTCTCAGAAGATTGACTCAAACCACATACTTTTGAAGAATATAATACAGAAGCTAAACCATATTTGCGGTTTAACTCAAAATAGATTATAGTAAGACAATGTTATTTTTACGTCATAAATACATTACGTTATTATAAAATAGATCCTAATCTTGATTTCTATTTCTTCCTTTTTATGCATGTCGACCACACGTTTGTGGAGCTTCTCTGGCACTGATTTCTCTGGCACTGATTTCTCTAGCACTGATTTATCTAGCAGATCACCCAAATTAGAGACATGTGAGGCTGATTTCTACTTTCAACATTAGAAAAGGTTGTAAATTATTATACATCTTTGCCCCTGAGCTGTCCCTTTTACAAATTATTAAATATGTCCTAAATTAGATTTTTTTTTAAATATTTTGCTAAATAGAAACACTTTTAGCCATTAACCACTAGTGTTGTGGCTTTTTGTGTGTAGTGTTCACACTTTTGGCATTCTTTGGGGAAAGTGTAACAAAATCCCCAAATAGATCGTGCAGACGTGACAAGAGACCAGAGAAAAAACCCTTTGAGCATGAGCCAAAATGCACAACTGTCCCACACAGCTCCTGTCTCCCTTGTCTCGGGACACCATGCCCCTATTTCTTTAAAAACTGCTTGAATCTCCAGAAATTACATTTTGGTGGTGCTAAAATGTAAACAAAAGAGTATTCTAGTTGCTAGAAAGTATAAAAGCTTGTAACATTATGGCTTATAAAATAGATTTTTTGCAGACAAGATAAGATCAGACAATAAAACAAGCAAACATATAGTAAACACATTTAATAGAAAAAAATCACCGTGCTACAGGTTCATTTAAAGCTGGAGTTAACAACGCCTGACGATGTGACAGTGGGTGGGCGGGGCTTCTGTAGGAGGCGGACTGAAAACAGGAAGAAGCCCAGACTGGCTCCACCCAGAACGACCACACCCGAGATGAGGGCACTGGTCAGAGGGCTCAGCGGCAGCTCATGTGCTGGGGCTAAAGAAAAAACAATGTAGCAGTTATTTCACTAAAGCTCATAATGATTGGATTTATTTTTTGAAGTGATTGTCAGGTACTTTGTTAATTCTGAAACATAAGTGCCTTAGACTCACCATGTTCACTCCCATCACTTCCTGCTTCCTATTTTACTTAATCTTTTCAAAACCAGGACCCTGGATGGTTGAGCCAGTCAGGAAAGTTTTTCACATTAATGTTGCACTTCTCATCTTTGTCCAACCCCTTTTTAAACTGTGTATGTTTGCCTATTTTGAACTTGTTTATTGGTCACTGAATGTATGTGCTCAGGCTGAATTAAGCAACACTGTTCTACATTTATACCAAAACAGAGTCATTATTAAGACAGTGGAACCGTTTACATCAAAGTGGAGAGCCAAATGGAAACTTTGAAAAGAATCTGTGATCTGAATGGTTGACTTTAGCACAAGTTAGTCAAAGCCACCAGTTGTTGTGTATTTGGTTGGGACAGTGTATGTTCATGAACACATCACTCCGGATTGTTGCACATTCGCCCTCACAAACATACACCTTGAACTATTGTGCATGTTTTTAGTGGTAGGGGAACCGGAGTACCCAGAGGAAACCTATGCAGACAAGGAGAGAACACGCAAACTCCACTCAGAAAAGTTTAGTTTAGTTTAGTTTAGTTAATTTAGTTTAGTCTTTATTTGAAGGGACAGTGTACAGAGACATTAAGCTCAAAGACAGATATGTTCTGCACCAGATTATAGCTAAACAGCTAGTTTCCATCTGCAGTCCCTGGAAAGCCCTGTTCCAACCGGTATTTCAAACCCAGAACCATCTTGCTGAGAAGCGAGAGTGCCAGCCACTCAGCCACCATGTCACCATCATTCTTTTGTCGTGTATCAAAGCAAATACGAATAATTTAATTTAGGCTTCCTATAGATTCCATTATGAGGTCATAAAAGCACTGCTCATCAATGATTGTAACAACATGAACACAGGGCAATAGTATTGTAATGATTACACACCTCCTGCGATCATTTTGGTATGGGTCTGGAAGGGGGACAGAGTCATACAAACATTGGCAGAAGTTGACATCAGTTTGTTGACATTCAGAGTAAATTTTCATAATTTCCACATATATTTGTCAACAAGCCAAAAGAACTAACCCTGACAGATGCGTAAGAGGTGGCACGCACACCGCTTAGTCAAACTTGTAGGAAGAAACAATCTCTCTAAAACCAGTGTTTTGTTTGCACGTCAGCAATGTTGGGCCTTTGTTTGGTAAATGGTCATCATCAGTCACTGGTGGAAGCAAGAAGACAATGTTTGGGAGATTTTGTTTCTTTATGCTACATATAACACTGAACATATACATCATCCTTTGTAAAGTTAAGACAGGAGATTCACAAATCGTCCATCAACTGTCACCAACTCCAATTCAATTAGAGTAATTAAGAGACGTGTAAACCCGTGTGTGACAATTGAAGTGTGACCAGTCCATTCCGAGGTGCTGTTGAGCTTGTTTTACACGAGAATTAGAAAGAGACACCAGCAACATTTAAAAAGAAAGTACATTTTGTCCACATATAGGCCGCACTTGACTATACTGTAAGCCACAGATCTAATAGCAGATCGACATAAACTGGTGATTTATTAAGGAGGTGTTCAACAGCTTAACCGCTTCTCATCACTCATTCACCAGGACAATAAATGAGCATCCAATAGCTACTAATGCTACTAAAATATTTCCCAAACTCTACTGTGACAACTGCCCAAATTTACCACAATAAAAAAACATACAATGTCTTCTTGCTTTAAAATACATACACTGACTGCTTCAAAGTCCGGCACTTACGATGTGGTGGAGAAGCTGAGCATGTGTGAAAATAAAAGTGAACATAATGTTGTGGGATTAAATTTAAGCATTCCCTTATATTATTAGAATGGCAGCATTTGTATTTACAATTAGAGTTATGAAATGTAAGTAATAATATAAAAGTTTTGGGAATAATTAGACCTTGTCGGTCCTGTTTGATAATTCCATCCAATTGAGTGCAGTTATTTCACTTAAAAAAATGGCGGCGCGGTGGCAAGAAGCAAGAAGGTCCTGGGTTCGAATGCCGGTCGGAACGGGGTCTTTTTGAGTGGAGTTTGCATGTTCTCCCCGTGCTTGCATAGGTTTCCTCCGGGTACTCCGGTTTCCCCTGCCACTAAAAAAATGCACACTGGGTTAAATCCTCCAGCTCTGGTAGTCCTGACAGAGCCCTGCATCAACATCTGGAGATGGGTTCCCGGGCGCTGTACTACGACAATCACTGCTCCTGACGTAAGCCCTAGCGGCATCAGGATGGGTCGAATGCAGAGGATGAATTGCCCTACAGCAGTGTCTCCCAAAGTGGGGTCCGCGGCCCCCTGGTGGGCCGCGAGGGTACTGCAGGGGGGCCGCGGGAGGTCATAAAAAAAATATATATATATATATAATAATTTAATGTTAAATTTATAATGTTTTGTTTGTAATATTAAAATATTTGTGTTCATTATTTGACTTGAATAATCCACTGTAATCATTTTTGTATTACAATGTTTGTAGCAGAGGCTATTTCCCCAAAATAAAATAACCAGAAGAGCCTATTCTTAATGTTGTCTTCTTGGTTATTATTTTGGGGGGGCCACGCAGACCCGTCAGATTTTTAAGGGGGCCTCTGTGTTACTGAGTTTGGGAATGGCTGCCCTACAGGGATCAATATAGTGCACCTTCACCTTTAACTTTAAATACACTATATGAACTTACCAAGCTGGGAGCTGTTGCCTGGAGTTTCATCTAAGAAAAAGGACAAAGATTAGGGCAAAGGCATGTTATGAAAATCCCACCTTTTAGAGCTTTTAACCAATATTGTTCCCTCATCAAAAACAGGCCGTTTTTATATCAATCCATACGACTTACAGCACAAACATGTAACTCTGCCCCTTCGGTCAAAAAGCTCTTGTCTCAGTCCTGTAAATAGTATGATGACATTGTACCACAATGACATCAGGCTCACAAACATTCTTATGTATTTTGAAAACAAAAGTAATGCCCATATCATTGCCATAACCGAAAAAAAACCCACTGCCATAAACCTATTGCATAATTTGTAAACCATTCAAATATAAAGAGTAAACCATTGTAGTGGATTGAACTTGAATTGGTGATACTTTAGGTAGTTCCCTTGCACCTCCATTATCCATACCTGTTCTGGTGATGATGGGCCCTGCTGTGAGGACTGTGTTTGAAGATGAAGGCACTGGGTAAATCTGGATGTGTTCTCCGTCCCGCCGGCGCCGCTTCCCACAGATCTGTCCGCGAACGCACGTCTTAATGTCACAGGAACATGCCGCCTCATACAGCCAAGATAAAACATCACACTCACGGGAATAAGCGAGATGCAGTCGTCCGATCGGCACAGCTTGGTGACGCAATGCAGAAACACCGTGGACATCCTCTGGTGTCGGTGCTTGACAAATCTGAAGACCTCAAAGGAGAATCTGCCCACCTGACTTTTACCATTCTCAAAAACTGTGGTCTGTGGGTCTTTGTAGCACCTGCCAAAATATAGTGCGTATGTATAACTAGTTATCATTATCTTCTACCAATTATTTTCAAGTTCGGACAACATGTGAGATTACCCAAAGAAAAGGTCGTAGCGCAGTTCATCATTTGGATTTCCTGAGGGAGTAGTGTAACAATAGTCCATGAAAACATTCCACCTATAGGAGCGGAAATCATCCTGTTTTAGAAGCATTGGGCTATAGTTTTACAGGATAAAGCCTTTTCTCCACTGAACACACTGTCCTCCCCCCAGCTCTAATTACCCATAATTGCAGAACGGACAAAAACTAGAGGCCCCATCTTTATAATTGTCTGCAGTGCATATAATGTTTTACCGTCGGTCTAGGTTAGTAGCTTTGACGGCAGCAAAAACTCTGGTTTTCAATGCCAGTCCAGACATGGGGATGGACAGAGTGTGGCTGTATGATGTATCCTGAAACACAGATAAATATAGTTACTTAACATTGAATGCAATCAACTAAAAAACATTTCAGTTCTTTGTTTAGACTTTAGCATTTCGAATCATCATCCCGAGTTTTACTTATATCTGTTTGTTTGGTTGTTTGTGTGTACAGTATGTATGTATGTTTGGACTGGAGGCATTTTTAAAATTAAAAAAATTGTTACTATTAGTTAACATCTAATAATTTATATCAACATTCATTTTTAGTTGAATAACTATTAGTTCTTCATTGGAATGTAAATATTATTTAAATGTTACCCTGGCCTAACACTAACCTCTCAGGATTCAAATACTTACAAATAATCCAAATTCTTCAGATTAAAATAAATATCATTATGCATAATCCAGGAAATACTTAAATCTGTTATATTCTCTTTCAAATGCACAGATACACCATGAATAATTAATACATTGCAATTGTTCTTTTCCAGAGCTTTTAGGATGTGTTCCCTTTTAGTCACTTTTTGTGTTGATATGAAACCCAAAAAGACACAAATGATACACTTATTTGGATTAGATGATCTTGAAGATGCCATAAAACAGACTTACATTGTACAGGATCATGTTTAGTGTGCTCACAAATGTTCCGTTGCTGTCCTTCACAGCTACAGTGGCAGAAGAGCTGTGAAAATATGCATTTCCATTTCCAATTTGCTCGAAATGTGTGTGAGTCATGCATGAAGGACTTTTACTAAGCAATGTATATTCATTTAGAGGATTCATGTCTTATGTTACACACTTCAGACATAAACCAAAGCCAGTTTGAAGAAAGAGTAAAGTAACAGTCTCTACTTACGATGCCAGTTGTGAGTTATTAACCAGGTACTCCAGTGGGTAGCTGCAGCTGAATTTGTACATCAAACCCGGCAGATAGCTGATTATAGTCGGAGGGTCAGGCGTGTCGATGAACCCAGACACGTGTCCAATTTGCACAAGTGACATGTTCCCATATGCATTCACCCCGTAGGCGGCGGACACCTGATTGGAGAGATGCACTATTTTTATGTGCCTTGTTCGTCAATAGTGTTGAATGATGAATTCACTCATTTACGGCGCCATTACCACCAGGTTGCTGCCGCAGGCCTCCAGAGTGCTCAGACTGATGCTGAACAGCAGTGTGGTGGGCAGAGTGTTGTTGTTGATGAAGCCCCTGCAGTGGCCATCGTTGTGGTGACCGTTCAGAGCCAATTCAGCGTCAGTGTAACCAGAAAACAATATGGGACAGAAGTTGATCTTTAGTGTGATGGTTTGGACCCCACAGTATACGTCAATGTCCCCTTCTCCTGTCAAACAAGAAGGAAATATGGTGGTTGATAAGTTGTAATATTCCGTAAAAATGTTATAATTTGTCAATGCAAATGTTCTCCTCTTCCTATTGCAGAATGTAGCTCGATGTCCTTGAGCAAAACTGGCTATACTTTAATTTATTTTAGTTTTTTATTATTAATAGAAATAGAGAAGTCCATTTTATCACGTTTAGGAATTTCATCCTCTTTGCCTCCAGTGCCTGTGGAACTGCCGCATAAATCAGGTTGTGGGTGCTTACTGATGGTTGGAGAGACTTTGAAATGAAAAGGCTTCATCAGTCCACCCCTGGGCAGTTGTGGCTACAGAAGTATATTTTAGAATGATGTAACTTCATATGTACTGCATTGAAAACTGCAACAGCGATGGATTAGCAGTGCCAGCCTGGGTATGTGTGATTTAACCAACACACAACTACCCAAGCACAGTGACATCCATATTGATAAGGAATATTGAGTTTAAATCAAATCCAATAAGAATATCATGGAACAGAAACAGGGAGTGATCTATGAATGATGAACTCCACCGAAGCAGGGAGGACTTCTACATTTGATAGAAAGAGTTAAAAAGATGTCAATGCTTTTTTTAAATTGAGTACCATTTCATTGTTGTTATCTCATATCTCTTCATGCAACAATTCAATGCAAACGGATGCTATCAGGGTGCCTCTCACCTGGAAACCGGCTGTGGAAGTTGGTGTCGCAGTTGTATCCGCTGAATTGTGAGACTGAAGCTGCGTTGCTCACCAGCACCAAGATAAAGCACAGGGGTGTCATCTCTGCACCTCTACACACCGTCATCTTCACTAGGTCAGTATCGCATTAACCATTTTCCTCAGATACAACAATCAAAACATGACTTATCTCCAAATGTGATGTTCCAAGACAATATTCCCTCTAGTGCGTGCCAGACCCTGCTTCTGACCTCTATCAAAGTCCCTTCCTGGTTCCTATAATCCTTCTCTATCCTGCTTCCTTTGCTCTGAGTAGCTTCACTATCTCTTGTTGGCCCATGCTCATTGCACTCCCCTCCTAGTAGCTTTTTTCTAATGCTTTTTATCTGGCTCGCCCACAATAATAGGCTGGAACCCCCTATATTCAAGTTTGGGACAGGTCTAATTCTGCATGCCCAATCGCCCCATCAGCCGTATGAATATCTGTTGTGTGTGGAGAGATGAGGGAGATAGAGGGACCCATTATCCATAAACCGTCAAACAAAACCTGCTCCGATGCCGTACATGGGAAACTCCATCACAAGTGAATAGTACGGACAAATCTTTTGACGGCGCCCAGAAACCTGAGTGCTCTCCTATGGGTTCTCACTGGTTTTCCCCTCAGTGCGATCCGTCTGTCTCTGCCTCAGCGGGGGGCTCAGTCAGGAATTAAGCTGTCATCGACCGGAGCTGTGGCCCACATTCACATCAACATAAAAGTCAACTCATGGTCTGATGCTGGGCTTTATGGAGCTAATTGTGATGCACAAGGCAGCACCTGGGGTAAAGGCATTCAATTCTTGTATACACAGCACGGTTTGTTTAGCTCTGCAGAAAGATAAAGTGAATACCTAGGTTGTTTTTAGATTTAAGATGTCTTAAGATGACTTTTTCACCCTGTAAAAATTTGCAGTGCTTAAGCAAAGCTTTATCTACAATTAAAGGATCTTCCTTTGTTTGACTTTGAGGTTAGTGGGAATGCAGATGTTTCAATGGTTTGACTTGGCCATATCCTGCAGTAAATTCCAGTAATTTATTTTCCTGATACCAGTTTTGAAAAATAAATTAAAACAAATTTCTTATTTGTCCCACAGTGGGGAAATTTCAGAACAATAGTAATGAGGAGCACACAACCCAAGATAAATGATTACTAAATATAGCACAACTCTATATTTTGAAAAAAAGAGTAAAATCTCTTTCTTTAGCTTAAAGAAGCAAGTATAAAATACTGCATCCTCGAGTGCAAAAAATATATACTTGTATGTATACATCTGCAGATAAATCGGTGGTTACACTCCAGTGCAAAATATTTGGTTAATAAGTCATTAGCTGTGAAGATTCAAATTTTCACAGTGATGTAACTAATGTACAGTACATGTTAGCAGCATGAGGGTATGTTAGCAGCATGAGGGTATGTTAGCAGCATGAGAGTACAGTATGTTAGCAGCATGAGGGTATGTTAGCAGCATGAGAGTACAGTATGTTAGCAGCATGAGGGTACAGTATGTTAGCAGCATGAGGGTACAGTATGTTAGCAGCATGAGGGTACAGTATGTTAGCAGCATGAGGGTACAGTATGTTAGCAGCATGAGGGTATGTTAGCAGCATGAGGGTACAGTATGTTAGCAGCATGAGGGTACAGTATGTTAGCAGCATGAGGGTACAGTATGTTAGCAGCATGAGGGTACAGTATGTTAGCAGCATGAGGGTATGTTAGCAGCATGAGGGTATGTTAGCAGCATGAGGGTACAGTATGTTAGCAGCATGAGGGTATGTTAGCAGCATGAGGGTACAGTATGTTAGCAGCATGAGGGTACAGTATGTTAGCAGCATGAGGGTACAGTATGTTAGCAGCATGAGGGTACAGTATGTTAGCAGCATGAGGGTACAGTATGTTAGCAGCATGAGGGTACAGTATGTTAGCAGCATGAGGGTGTATGTTAGCAGCATGAGGGTACAGTATGTTAGCAGCATGAGGGTACAGTATGTTAGCAGCATGAGGGTATGTTAGCAGCATGAGGGTATGTTAGCAGCATGAGGGTATGTTAGCAGCATGAGGGTATGTTAGCAGCATGAGGGTATGTTAGCAGCATGAGGGTATGTTAGCAGCATGAGGGTATAGGCTAAAGGTAAAGTAAAACATTATTTCAAATTATTGCACAAATGCATGACGTGAGGTCGGGTCACGTCATGCGGTGCTCATAGAGGATATTGTCGGATTTGCACAGGGAGCAGTGCATGTTGTCCTATTGAAACTGGCAACTTTTTGTTTTTGAAATGTGTTTAGAAATGGCTCACTCCACACTAAACTGTACTAATGTGTTACACATGGGTCAATGACACAGAAAAGTCCCAAAATGTCCGTGGCTGCTACTGCCGAATGTTCATAGCACGTTCTCCAGTGAAGGGCGCACTATTTAAACACCAATTCGTTCACGCTCGTATTATTAATACCGCTCCAGACAGCGGTTTTGGATGTGACAACCTTTGGATGTGATGTATTACGTCCAAAAAGCCTAGTTTGTCTGTAGTTATTGAGTAATATTTTTTTGCATAATGTATATTATATATTAAGATATTGATATAGTTATATTCCCAACCATTAGCCATTAAATGTCTTCCCTGTCCTGTTAATTATTCCATTCACAAAGCCTCCAACATAACATGCCCTATGTAACAATTGTGTCCCCAAAGTTCAATAAAAAACCCTTTCATATTATATCCACAGCATGCTTTTCATTACAACACAGCACAATAGCATCAAAGTAGATAGATTTTGACTAATCCAAATCACCAACATGATCTCTTTCAGACGGTCTATACTCTTTTCTTCTATATGGACATGTCACATAATACATCCATGGTCACACTAGGTCAGCCATTATTATACTTCCTACTATACTGTAATTCATGCTAATACCCTTAATAAAGCACAATATCCTTGGGCTTTCAGTGTGTGGCCCTGTCTGAACTGTGTTTAAATAAAACCAGTTACCCAACACATACCTGTATACGTATATATGTGTTATGAAAGACATAATCATATTGTTATTTCAACAAAGTTTTGATGTATCTCATTTCCTTTCTTGGAGCAGTTCTATTCTCAGGCCGAATGCGTCACACCTTTTACTCATCCTGTTCCTCACGTGTCCGCCCCTCTCAGATCCGGACTGTAGCTGTGCGGGAGGGGACAGTGAGGCAGTTGCAGCAGGTGCGATGTTAGCTACTGAGGAAGGCCTGAAATCAAATCTCAATATGCGTATAACAAGAGCACATGCACCATTCACAGCTAACAGGATCAAATACTGTAGCCGCAAAACCCCTGAAATGAATACGGTGTCTTATTTTACAAATCCCATCCAGCGTGACCCATTTCTTGCACCTTTTAACAAATGGTATAGAACATATTTTTCAGGAAAACATAGAATTGCTGTTGAGTAAAAAGACGAAAATTGGATGTTAAGGCATTACTCACAGGGATATTGTGAGAAGGGTCACACCACAATTAAAATCTTTTTTGTTGGCAGTGTGTTAAGTACGTAGGGTTTATGTTTATTGGGGTTTGTTTTGAATGCATATTATCATTGCTAAAATAAAAGAAGTATTTATTTTTTTGTATAAATGGAAAGAAGAAAATAGTAGTTAAATACTATAAAATTAATTACACAAATAAATATGAAACATTTTCAATATTTTGAGTGTTATATTGAAGAAGATGACAAAGTCTGGGATTGCGTCTTTAATTCAGACAGAAGACATGTTTTATTGTCGATGGTAGAGACAGCACGAACAACAGATACAACAGAATGCAAGTGTATTATACAGAGCGGAGGCATGGAGACCTCCAATCAGCAGCTTCCACGGTGTGCTTGTAGCTTGGCCTTCAGATAGACAAAACAAGGGAAAAGTTCTGGCTTCTGCACATTGATAGAATGATGAGTTTAACTTTAACAAAAGTTGCTTAAAAGTGTTATGAAATCTCACATTATCAAGGACAGTTATGTTGCATCCAGGGCCCCACCCTGGAGCTCATGCCTGGGCCCTGTCACTTTAAGGCGGAGCTGGTCAAAGGCAGGGCCCTCGTAAACAAAGTCCACACACACTCTGGCTGTGGGACAGAAAATGGGACCGAGTCGGGCTCACCTCCGCACACAGCCTGGGCTCTGGATCGTCCACTTCTCTGGGGTTTCCCAGGGGGAGGGGAAGAGTACAGTAGGAGGGGTACAAAACAGGGCACTGACTGGGGACTCACTGATGCAGGAGGGTCTAAGGACGGTGATAATCCAGTACATTTATTGACATTGGTCAATCAATTACTTTTTTGTTGTTATATTAAATTTCAAAACACAACTTCATTGTGTTTTGATTCACATCTGTAACATCCTTACAAGGACATTTTTTTTAAATAATTTTTGCAATAAAAAAACATAATTGAAATTGAATGGAGAAATGTGACGGACAACAACCCCAACCTGCCGCAGCTGATTAATAATAAATAATTAAGTAAATTCAAATTATATTTTTCATACAAGTTTCAGGGAAAACCAATAAGACAGCACAAAGTCGGACGCCAGGGAATGTTTGTAGACCTCAGCTCTGCCTTCAACATCTCTGCCCAAACCCACCTGCAGGTGGATCCGTGACATCCGCCATTTTATAATATCATACCTCTGCCGCCTTTATATCTATTTTTAAAACAATTTTATTACTGCTCTGCACCATTTCCCAAAGAAACTGTTCAATGGCAATAGAAATATTGTTGATTGTAATTGCAAATGTCTGCAACTTCCTGCAGCTAAATCAAGATAAAGCTGAAATGATTGTAATTGGAACAAAATCAAAGAAGGGAAGAAGGAAAGAAAATCATTCAAAACCTCAGATTTTGAGCCCAAGGACTGTGTAAGAGATCTTGTGTCAATGTTCATTTTCTGGCACCTTTGTATATTTCTGATTTCCGGAGCCCCCAAATCCTCAGCCCTGACCTTTCTTGTGATTTGTGTAAAACTGAAAGTAAGAGAAGCAGCATTCTATAACTATGCTCCTTGTAAATGGAACAACCCTAATGCCATCAAATGCACTCAGGTAAAACTTGAACATGCCACAGCCTGAATTAAGCACAATGAGCAACAGCTTTTGCAGGAAATGTGCAATACTCTTCTCTTTGGACATTGTGGGGTTCCCTTGGGTCATCCATCTTTTCTACAACATAGCATGGCAATCGGTAACACTGCCAATAGACTGGCAGACCAGGATGGGGGCCACTAATCTTCAAGAAGACCATGGAACACTGGACCAGCTCGATATCCTCCATCAGGTTCTCGGGGATCACACAGGGTTTTTTCACAGTCAGTCCTCATGTGCTTTGTGCATCTGGAGAAGGCGTTCGACCATGTTCCCAAAGGTGTGCTTCGGGGGATTCTCAGGGAGTATGGCGGGTCCCTGTATGACGGGTGTTGGAGCTGTGCTAGAAGCAAGTCAGACGTGTCCTGATGGGCCCTTTTCCAAGCCTCACAAGGAGTTTGTTCTGCACTCACTTTCGTTTACTCACGCCTCGCAACCAACACCTAATCACCTATACCTCGACCTTCAAGCACACACCCTCATCACAACTTCACCCATATACCACCAGTTCCTAGGTCCTGGAGGGTTATTAGCGGCGCACAAGGACAAAGTGCCGCAGCCGTGGCCTAGGGTGCCAAATGATCATTAAATGCAATTTTGTGTCTGTGTAGTCTCTCCAGATTGAAATAGTTTGAGCACGTCTGGTTTTGGAAAAAGGTGCCTTGACCGAGGTGGGGGGAGAAGAAAGGTGCCCTGCTCTTCAAGTGGAGTCTTGAGGACCCAAGATACTTGAACAAGTGTCTCAGGTTTTGTTCACAATTGATAGACAGTTTATATATGTAAGGATGTAATGTGTCCGTGCGCCAACAGAGGGCGCCCTTTGTTTTCTTAACTATATAAGCCCTCCGCAGCTTCGCAACGCTGCAGTTCTCTTTTGTTTTTATGAAGGCAATAAATGAGGAACGTCTGTTCAGCCTCTTCCACCATTGACTCCTGGTTTCCCTATCCGCACTGCTGGCCCCTGACCAGTAACACAAACAACACAACGCAGAGATCACACCTGGGGCTTGCCATCGCTGAACTAGGGTTACATCTTTGGTGCCGTGACCCGGATGGTGGTTTATAAGAGGAAGAGCGGACAACTCTGTGGACTGTTAACATCATAATAAGCTGTATCCTCAGTTTTCAGTTATATGCTCTTTATTACATTATTTTTTTCTCATTGTTGAATAGTGCTTTTTTATGTGATTGAATGCTATGTTGTGAATATTTCTGTAATATTGATTCATCGGTTTAAGAGATTGATATCACGTTATAATTAATCAACATGCAAGGTAATGTGCAAAACCTCCATGAAGATACTCCTCGACGCCCCATTCCCACGATTCCCCCTGCGGTGAGGCCAAAGTTATACCGCCAGCCAGACAGACCAGGTGTGGCAGAAGGAGAGATCCAGACTTTGGACCAAACAGTTATTTTGATGAATCCGTCTGAGCACTCGGAGCAGTATGCCCAACAGCATGAGGCATTATCACCCTGGAATATGGCATATAATGCTCTGCCCACGCCTCCACAGTCTAACCCTCTTCACCTCAATCTGATGACTGGGGGAACCCCCATGCAGGTACCAGAACGCCATGTCCACACACCCAGTTACCAATATCCCCAGGGCAGTTACGGTGGGCCAATGTTAACTGCTTTTGAAAAGTACCCACAAAACACAGGCATTATTAGTCCGGGTAGTATGGCACCTCATGCCGCTGTTCTAAGCCAGCAACCAGTGAGGGTTAATAACACACCTGCTACCCAAGCCTCTCTGCACGCTACTCAAACATACCCATCCATCGCACAACCAGCTCCATACCACATGCAGGCTAGCGCCTATCCACATGAGTGTGCAGGGATCCAGGCGCCTCCCCCTTTCCAGCCCAGCCCAGCCAATTTCACTCAGTTTCATCAAGTAAAAAATGTGGCCATTTTCAGTGGTGGGGCAGACTGCAGAATACTGATTGAGGACTGGATCAGAGACATGCAGTATCTTTTAGATGCAGGTGCCCTACCATCCCACCTCAGTTTTGCAACCATTGTCAGGCATTTGAGTGGAGAGGCACGAAGGCTTGTTCTAAACCTCCCCCCAATAGAGCAAGTCCCGGGGAGGGCTTTTGATGAACTACGGTCAGAATATGGTGACATGCAGAGATCTCTGGATCCCCTGGCCGACTTTTATGAGAGAACCCAACGTTCAGGGGAGACAGCCTGTTCTTTTGCCATTGCTTTAGAGGCCACGCTCAGAGAAGTGGAAGACACCCAAAACAGGGGCCGACCATTCCCAGATCGTGATGCAAAACTGGTGCGACAGTTCATGAGGGGGTTGATTGAAGAGGATGTTTTTTTGAGGATTGCTCCCATGAAGCCGAGAATGCTATGCTTTCGGGAGCTACAGAACGAGCTCAGGAATATAGCCAGAGAAGCCAAGAAGTTCAACCAGCCGAGGCAGAAGAAGACTTTCAGCCAGGTCCAGACTGTCACAAATAGGCAAGTAAGTGGAGCAACTGAGAGAGCTGAAACGGGGAAGCAATCTTCTGAGTTACGTGAACTTACAGACCTCGTGAAAAGTATCGCACTGCATCAAGAAGAACAAAGTAAAAGGCTTGCTCAGTTGGAGACAAAGTTTACCCCTCCCACCTCACCATTCAAGCCGAATTTAGGACCCAGAGACCCTAGCCGAAGAGCCACCATAGTGTGCCACCGCTGTGGCAGACCTGGACACTTGGCCAGGTCCTGTAGGGCGGTGCTACCTGAAAATGAGCCCTCTACCAGTGCTGGATCGTACGCCGCTGTCACATCGGATAGTGGCGCTATCACAGGTGGCCAGCCTTTAAACTCCTAAAGCCTGTGGTGACTGGGGCAACCATGGGCATGCATCTGATCCCCCAAAAGGAATTGGAAACCCCACTTGTCGGACCTTTAAATGAGGGACAGGTTGAAGTTAATGGAATGTCCTGTAAGGCGCTCATTGATTCTGGTTCTCAAGTGACCACCATCACAGACACTTTCTGGCGCTCACACCCTGAGCTGTGTATGCAGGAGATACAAGAGTCTAGCATCCCAATGGAGGGGGCTGGAGGCCATACTATTCCCCATTTTGGTTTTTTATACATAAATCTCAACATTCCGGGGAAAGACTTTGCCAATGTGCCTGCTTTTGTTGTTCCGGTAACAGAGTACCGGTCTGGAGTTCCATTGTTAGTGGGTACTAATGTCATACGTGCCTCCAAAAGCCATTTTGAATCCCAATATGGAAAACAATTCCTGGTTATGGTACAGGAGAAGCACCCAGAATGGTACTCTGCCTTGACAGAGGTGAGTGGCACAAAACCTTGTGGTTTCGACGACCGCATTGGCCCTGCGGTTTATACTGGCAGTAAAATGTGTGTCCCTGCAAGCAAAGAAATGAACGTGATGTGCCGGGTAAAAGGGGGGCCAAGAAATAAAACGTACACTGCGCTGATTGAATGTAACGTAAATTCTCAGCTGCCAGAGGGCCTAGTAGTGGGCAGAGTGCTTGCCTATGTCAGGAAGGGCGTCGTTCCAGTCCGAGTAATGAACCTCTCTGTCCAGCCAGTGTTGATTAAACCACATACTTGTCTTGCAAATGTTTTTCTCGTTAGAGATGTGTTGCAGTGGAGTAATGAGGGGGAGTGCCCTGGGGATTCCAAGATGGAAACATGTCATATTCAAGATCAGATTGTGCAGGCGACTCAGGGCAGGGACACTGTCACATGTCCAGTGGATCTAAGTGGGGCTGCAGTGGAAAATGAGGAGCAGAGGGAAAGCTTGAGGCAACTATTGCTAAAGAACCGTGATGTATTCTCCCAACATTCCATGGATTTTGGGCACACAAAGACAGTACAACATGAAATCCCTCTGATTGATCCCAAGCCGTTCCGTCTCCCCTATCGGAAAATACCACCTGCTCAATGGCAAGATGTCCGCAATCTTTTAAAATACAATACAATACAATACAATACAATTTATTCTTGTATAGCCCTAGGTCACAACAGAAGTCATCTCAGAGGACTTAACAAAACCATTGAAATCACCAACACAGGTCAGAGAATCAACAGTTAAAACACATGAAGAATACAGTATAAAGCACACACAGAAGAAAATGTCCATACATGTTGTAGAATGCTAAAGTGTCCTGATCATCACCAATCCTTTCTGTTGGACACTAACTGTCCAACAAGACCCTCCTGCATCGACAAGGAAAAACTCTTAAAAAACCCAGTGGGAAAAAGTGAGAAACCTTGGAGGAGAACTAGGGAAACCCACAGGGAGGGAGACCCATATGAGAAAGGGATCCGCTCCTCCGGACGGACAGACTAATGATCCAGGACCTAAGCTAGCTACAGAACGTGGACCAGTGGACGCTGAACGTGGACAGGTCCGGTGCAGGACTGAAGCACTCCCAGGCGGGTCGGGCGGGGCAGTCCGCAGGTGTAGATGGAAGAGGCCAGGCTCAGAGATCCCGTCATCGTACCATGAAACAGACAATGGGACAACGGGTGAATAGCAATGAACAAACTACAGTCAGAATCCTAAAAATGCTAAACAGATAAAGTAGGAAGGAGGAGAGGAAGACACCGGTGTCATCCGCCCAAGTAAGAGCCCGTATGCGTCACCCATTGTGGTTGTAGTTAAGAAGGATGGGACGTTAAGGATTTGCGTCGACTACAGGAGGTTGAATTCCTGCAGTACAAGGGACGCATTCCCTCTTCCTAGGATCGAAGACGCTCTGGAAGCTCTTGGACAAGCACAGTATTTTTCCACCTTGGACTTGACATCGGGGTATTGGCAGGTGGAGGTGGCAGAGCAGGATAAACATAAAACGGCTTTCACCACGCCTATGGGCCTCTTTGAAGCAAATCGTATGCCGTTTGGCTTACAGAATGCCCCATCAACATTCCAGAGGTTGATGACCTGCTGTTTTGGAGACTTGAACTACTCGCACCTCCTTATCTACCTTGATGACCTCATAATATTTTCCAAGGATTTTGAGGGACACCTGCAACGCCTGCAGTTGGTGTTTGACAGACTGCGTAAACATGGCCTTAAACTGAAACCCTCAAAATGCCACTTGATGAAAAAGGAGGTCCAATACTTGGGGCATCGGGTGTGTGCAGAAGGTATCCGCACTGACCCTGAAAAGATAAGCAAGGTGAAGGACTGGCCACAGCCAACAAACCGTAAGGAGGTCCTTCGTTTCCTGGGGTTTGCGGGGTACTACAGGAGGTTTGTGGAGAGCTATGCAAAGATTGCTGCACCCCTCTACCGCCTCACTTCTGGTGACCCCAGAAAGAAAAAAAGGGGTACGAAAAGAACCACTGTACCTGACCCTCCCTTTCTATGGACTGATGAGTGTACAAAGATCATTTACCACCCTGAAAGAAAAACTCACATCAGCTCCATTACTTGGATACCCGGACTACACACTGCCATTCGTGCTGCAGACTGATGCCTCCGGAGAAGGCTTGGGAGCGGTCCTGGCGCAAGTTCAGAATGGGGTCGAGAAGGTCATAGCTTATGCTAGTCGAGGTTTAAGTCCACCAGAAACCCGTTATCCAGCCCACAAGTTAGAGTTTTTAGCTCTAAAGTGGGCTGCAACTGAAAAGTTCTTCGACCATCTCTATGGACATAAGTTCTCTGTGCTGACGGATAACAACCCTTTGAAATATGTCATGTCCACTGCCAAGTTGGACGCCACTGGTCAGCGATGGGTATCACAGTTGTCAGGCTTTGATTTCGACATTCAGTATCGTCAGGGAAGGAATAATGCTAATGCAGATGCACTCTCAAGAATGTCATGCAATGATGTGGCTAGGGCCCTGTCGTGCCCACAGAGGGTGGCAGAAGAGTCTGAGCCTCTTGTGCCCAGTCAAGAGTCAGAGCCCTACGCTGATACTGGTACTGAATGTCTCCCATCAATGACCAAGCAGGACATCCGGGCGGCTCAAAGGGAAGATCTTGTTGTGGGACCAGTGTTGAGCTACAAAGCAATTAATTCCAAACCAAGCAAAAGAGAGAGAGAGGCTTGGGGAGGACAGGCCTCCCTTCTCCTAAAAGAGTGGAGGAAGTTGGTTGTGAGAGATGGAACTCTGTATCGCACAGTCCGGGGACAGTCGTAAAGGAGTCATCAATCAGTTGGTCCTACCTCAGAATCTTCAGACAGGAGTGATGACTGCCCTGCACAATGAATCAGGGCACCTCGGGTTTGAAAGAACTTTTGCTCTCATAAGAGAACGTTTCTTCTGGCCAAGGATGTTTCAAGAGGTTAAGATGTGGTGTGAGCGTTGCGAGCGTTGCTGTCTTCGAAAGACTCCTGCTGGTCTCCATGCCCCGCTAGTCAGTATACATACCTCTGCCCCCATGGAGCTGGTGTGTATCGATTTCCTCACACTAGAGAAGTCTGTGGGTCAAATTCAGAATGTGCTTGTGGTGACAGACCATTTCTCCCGCTTTGCCCAAGCATACCCAACAAGGGACCAGAAGGCCTCCACAGTGGCTAAGGTGCTTTGGAGAAACTTCTTTTGCCGGTTTGGTTTCCCAGCAAGGCTTCATTCCGACCAAGGACGTAATTTTGAGAGTGCCATAGTTCGAGACCTTTGTAAAATCACAGGCATCACCAAAACCCACACCAGCCCATACCATCCTCAGGGAAATGGGATCACAGAAAGGTTCAATCGCACTCTCATGAATATGCTTGGCACGCTGGAACCTCCTCTGAAACCTCGTTGGAGCGAGTATGTTGATGCAATGACACATGCATACAATTGCACTCAACATGATTCGACAGGCTACAGTCCCTACTATCTAATGTACGGCAGGCATCCAAGACTTCCTGTCGATCTGGTCTTTGGTCTAACATACGGCAGCAACCCCTGTGAATACAGCGATTATGTTCAGGACCTCAAAGACTGCCTAAAGCATGCTTACGCTCAAGCCAACATAAGCTCCAGACAAGCCAAGCTGCAGCAAAAGAAGCATTATGACAGCAGGGTCAAGAAAAGTCTTACATTTGCTCCAGGAGACAGAGTATTAGTCAAAGTCTGCGCCATTGAAGGTCGGCAGAAGTTGGGGGACCGGTGGGAGTCCAAGCCTTACCTGGTCCTAAAGAAACAGCCTGGAGTCCCGGTTTATGTCATTCAGTCAGAAGATGGTGAAAAGCAAAGAGTGGTCCACGGAAACCTTCTTACCCAGTGCATGTTTTTTCCCTTGGAGTCTGAACTAGCGGCAGATGAGGTGGAGGATGGAACTGAGGGTGTCAATGATTCAAGGATTGGCTCTGATGAGGATTGCGGGGAGGAGGATCCATTGGAGGATATGGAGGAAGAAGATAATGCACCAGTGGAGATTCAAAATACCGAAATGGGTATTTCTGAATGTGCTGTGGGCAGAAGAAACCCCCTAAGGAACAGGCAGCCACCCAAAAGACTGTCCTTTCAATTGAGAGCGATGCACGATGAAACAGTCCAGCAAAAGATTGCCCGAGGTCGCAAAATATGGCAAAGGGTCAAGGAGAAACGCAACTTTCTTAATAGAGAATAAAACCCCCTCCAATTTTCTCTTAGTCATTCAAAAGAGACTTTCACCCTGTATTTTATTTTGTTATTTTGTTGTTAAGATGTCTGAGACGCCATCAAACAAACTGGGGGTGGATGTAAGGATGTAATGTGTCCGTGCGCCAACAGAGGGCGCCCTTTGTTTTCTTAACTATATAAGCCCTCCGCAGCTTCGCAACGCTGCAGTTCTCTTTTGTTTTTATGAAGGCAATAAATGAGGAACGTCTGTTCAGCCTCTTCCACCATTGACTCCTGGTTTCCCTATCCGCACTGCTGGCCCCTGACCAGTAACACAAACAACACAACGCAGAGATCACACCTGGGGCTTGCCATCGCTGAACTAGGGTTACATATACATACTGGCAACTTAATTCACCAGATCAACACTTTGAACATATCCGTCCAGAAGAGTGGCCCTCAGGGGAAAGCACATCTTCCTTTCTCATAGCTCTGATGTATTAGTTCCTGTGATTTAGTATGAATGTTATTTTTTGCATTCAGATTCACAGTTCAACTTCAAGTTGTACAGGGATTATTTACCAAAGAAACTTCCTAGTTTGTGACTTCCTGTTACTCTTCCTGTTTTATTTCATTGGCATGAATGTTATTATTATGGATCCATGCATGTATGTCCCATGTTTTAATGTAGCGGGGCCTGGCTGAGCATGCTGGAGTTGCTTTTGTAATCAACTCTGTGCTGCCCCCCTGCGGTCTCAGGGAAATGGCACATGGCCACAGGCTGCTGCACTGTGTTGCCTCATTGGAACAATAGTTCCAACAATAATACTCCCTGACCCTAAGCTCTGTTTTTTCAAGGTGTCACTTATTCTACAATGTATTCCTACTTGTGTTATTAGCAAACCAAACGCATTCTCCTCTTTTTGAAAGGCGTACAAAACAACAGACTTTTATTTATTTTTAAATTATTTTTTACAATGTTCCATGCACTGTAGTCTACCAGTTGAGTCACACTGAAATACGTTGTTGTATGTATTTTCTTTCATTATAATGCACTTGGGTGAAGATCATGTCCATTGCATGAGCGGACCACTATGAATGGCTTTGTATGTCTTGTAATTGTTGCTCAGTTGTTGTCTGGCTTTGAAACCACGAGGTTGCGCATTTTTTTCAAACATCTGCAAATAAAAGGTGCGTACGTGTCCCGGCTCACTGCTCTGTCTGCGGCCAGTGGCACCTGTCCTGCACCGGGCGCAGGGTGATGGTTCAGTGTGTCCTGAGTCCTGACTGTTGACATCTCTCTGTGATCAGATTTGGAGCTTGGGGGCTGCGCGCCGTCGCCATTTCCACCGTGCGCCCCGGAGTGAGAGCGGACCATGGATCTATAATAACATCGGAGTGGACCGCCTGGAGCAGGATGCACGGGAGAGACGGAGACCGGGGAGACGCCTGCAGCCTGCGCCTTCCAGCCACACTCTGACCGGATACACAGCGTTTTGTTTTTGTTGTCTAGATTGTCTTTATTCCGCCCTCGCCTGGTGCGTGTCTGTCATAGCCGAGTCCAGATTTCTCAGCCATCCAAGGTGGAGAAGGGTCCGACAAAGCAGCGGAGGCGGAGGACAGCTCTGGTCTATGTCAGAGCGACCCGTCACGGTTTCTCACGACACAGCAACGCGACTTCTGCTGCTTTTGTGATAAACAATTTTTCTGTGAAGTGAGCAAAGATGTCGGGGCAGAGCATTACGGACAGGATCACCGCAGCCCAGCACAGTGTAACGGGATCTGCCGTGTCCAAAACAGTGTGCAAGGCCACTACGCACGAAGTCATGGGCCCGAAAAAGAAACATTTGGACTGTGAGTATTACATGACAAAGTACTGCTGGGTTTATAGCTGGCGTTCCCATTTACAGGCTACACTGGGCGAGTTATGGCGAATGTGAATGGGGCAGGCCTCAAAGCCTCTCTGACTGGCTAAATGCTACTACTTAGCTCTGTCAGATTTAAAGCACCATTTCATTTCACTCACTGACATAAGGCTTTACCGGACGACAACACAGCCTATTCTCACTTTGCCACATGCAATTACACTTTATTCATGCGCAATAGCTGGGGATATGTATTGGCAAGGCTTGTTTGCTAACTCTGTGTTAATCTGCAAATCTGTGCCTTGCTTTGGCTTTATTTGGCATTGCCCACCTTGCATACTCATTCATTTCAAAGCATGCATACAGATACAGTTATCAAATCTTTGCACATAAGCAGCCATGGTTTGCACCTGTCCTGCAGCAGTGCAAGTCTGTGATTGACTCAAGATGTTGAGAGTGCATGATCTGTCATTTTTAAGGTGAAATAGTTGTGGGTTTTTCATGTCCTCCAGTTACAAATACGTTACAATCCAGTGATAGAAGAGTAATAGAAGTGTAATGTCAGGGTATATCTAAATGCTCTGCTCAGTCACTTTATTGATCTGCACTCACAAATGCATAATGAAAGTGGTTTTATGAGCTTTCACCAGGATCCTTTAATAATAGGACAATATTGAATGCTGTAAACTGGAGGGTGATGTTACATTTCCCAGACTTTATTCTATTGATGTGTGTGTTGTAGGCTTTCTGTAGAAAACCATTAATTACGCACATGTTTAGAGCTGAAAATTATTTAAGTTTTTTCAATGACGCCTGTTTTACTCATCGATGAAGAGTAAACTGGTCTTTGTGCAAATGTCAACTTTTATTTGCTGAGAGATAGGATTTTAACGATTCTGTAAAATAGGGCTATGATCATATACATTTACATAATTAGGAATTATGTAAATGTATAGTCTTTGGTCCCTGGTGGCTTCATTTCAGCTTGATCTGGGTCAAATTGAGATAAATAATCATATATGTGTCCTTACCAACTACAGGTGAAAATTAGATTATGGTTGAAAAGTTCATTTACTTTTGTAATTCAATTTACAATGTGAAACTAGAATCACAGAATCACTTCTGAAATGTCTAGAAAAAATATATATAATATATATTTAGGAAATTAACTCATAGCCATCCTCATAAAATATCATAATAAACAAAGGCTTGGTGTATGTTTATATATTGGTTTCACAGTTGAGTTACAGAAATAATTAAACAAGTTTACAAGTTTCAGCTGTAATCTAAAGAATTGTCTTAGTCGATTATCAAAACAATCAGTAATTACAGGTTAAATAAAAAGCGTAAAATTCATGAGACAATAGATTTGACAAATTGGCAGATTATCAATAAAACACAACCTCTGAATTGCATACTCAGCAGTTGATTTCTTTTGGAGTTGGTCGGACTGTGGAAAAAGGATAAACTTCTGGAAGCTCTGGTGCGCCTTGATCCCGTCTCTGAGTGCTTCATCTTCCACAGGACTTCATACTTACAAATTAATTGTTCATTTGTAAAAACAGATTAGACACATTCACAAAATATCGTAAAGGCTTACAATTTGCTCTTTACCAAGTCCTTTTTTGAAAAGCCAAATACGTTTTAGTGCCATTCAAATACAGTTTTACCTCTTCTTGAGTAAATGTTTTTAAATCTTCTGCCAAAAACAAAATATGTGGAAGATTGTTGCCAGAGGAATACAACTTTCTGACAATTGTTCAAAATGGAGATATGTTTTTTTCAAATTCACTTTTCAAATACATTTATTACTTGCCTTTTGGGACAGTCTTGTGTCCCACTTTTATTTGATTTGTTCATTTTCAATTTCAATTATCTGCTTCTCTTTATCACTAGTTAAAAAAGATAAAATTTCACACATAGTTCTGAGAAGTCCTACTTATCTATGTCTCCTCACATTCAGTCAGTGCCATAATGTCAAGTACATAACACTATAGTATAGTGAACCCTATACACACCGTATGAATGAGTTATTTCAACCTGTTGTTTAACCTTTATTTGTCCCACTGTGGGGAAATCTCAGTGTTGCAGCACACATACAGGACAGAAGTAAGAGCACGCAAGGAGCACACAAAATGACTTAGATAGCTGTAAATTCTTCTTAAATCTGGTTTTTGGAACAGAAGTACTGGCACTTAGAGCAGTTTAACATTTTAATCTGGTTTTATTAGTCAATGTTTTTATTTGCTTCCCCTATAAGAGACAATTGTAAGAAAGAGATATTTTGACCTTTCGACATGTTTTGATGGCAAACATATTAGTGTAATATGGGCAAATGAAATGGATTAAGTAGATAGTAGTGACAACTTATGTGGACAGTCTGAAATTGCATATGATGAGATGAGATGTGAAACAGACACAAGGTGGAGCCCTCAAACTTGAAAGGAGATTGAAGACCACTTAAACCAACAGCAAATACATGGAAGACGTAAGAAAAAGACAAGTTTTGCTTAAGTATCAAGCTCATGTGAAAATCTTTTAACTTTGCCGTCTTAAGGGTTAGATTCATGTTTTAATTGTGGCCGTTCTTGGAGAGAGTTTATTAACCCTTTTTATGGAAGTCCACTCAGGTGTGATGGATGTGTCAGCCTTTTTGTGGCTTCAGCGTAATATGATGACTCATAAAACCATGTAGGCTGACTGGTACATGAGGAGCTTCTGGCTGAAGTTTATGTCAGACAAACCTTATCTTTCTGCTCCAGGCTGATAGGCAATTATCTTTAACGCTTCATTTTCCTGCTCACAAGCTTAAATAGTACAATGAAAGTCAACACATTTAGTAATTTTTTCAATATGAAATGCTAATTTAGAGTTGAGTAAATGTCAGAATGGCAGAAACACACATCTATATCTAAATGAAAAGTGGTCGATGTGCTAGAAAATCTTGTTCAGAAGATACTTATTCTAATTGTGCCATTATGCACCTCTTACTATTCATCCAAATACGTGTATAATATTAAACCCTGCTGGGTACAATAGGGATTATCCTGTCAATGCCAACAGAGCATTATATTCATACAATGTTGAAGGAAATGGAAATGTCTCTATGATATGTCTATTTCCATCACTGTTTTCTAAGCCCAGTTTAGACTCCCATGCCAAACGCTCTTTCTCCACAAGGTTGTTCTGTCCTACTTAGAGTCTTGCGCATTTTGTCCAATGTAGGACAAGACAGAGGCCCAATTACCCCAGGAGCCTGACAGACAGAGAATAGAAGTGTTAAGAATGTTCTCCACACCATTTTCCAGCATATACTACTTACATATACTTTAGTGCTTCACTGTTCTGTCCCTTCACAATCATTCTGTTAAAACTTTGGGTGAACTTGGTTTTGTGTTTTTCATTGATAACATAGGCTCAGACTTTGCTTATTGTTGTGTAATGGGTACATTCTGTTTGCACTAAGTATGTTATATACATGTTAGTAATAAAAAACCGTTTCTTATCTGGTTGTCAGTTTAGACTTATCTCATGCCACATGTGATTTATTTTTGGGAACATGGGGATGACTCATAGTAGCCCATTTTCAGTTCTGACCTGAAAAATGTCACACATAATGAGACATTTGGACCCTTGTGGGTGGATGAGAAATAGTTATTGAATATGATTTTTTTTTCCAGACTTAATCCACTGTACCAATGAAATGAACGTGAACATTCCGCAGCTGGCCGACTCTCTGTTTGAGCGGACCACCAACACCAGCTGGGTGGTGGTCTTCAAGTCTCTCATCACCACACATCACCTCATGGTCTATGGCAACGAGGTAACATTCACTACCTGTAATAACACAACTGTTTCCTGTTTCTTTTATTTGTAATAATATGAACCTTTCTCCTGCAGCGATTTGTTCAATATCTGGCTTCCAGGAATACACTATTTAATCTCAGTAACTTTCTGGACAAAAGTGGTTTACAAGGTAAGGCAGGTGTCTTGGTTAAAGGATTTTTACGAGTCATAAAATATTGTTAAATTAAATCTTTTTCTCCCATGACAGGATATGACATGTCCACGTTTATTAGGCGGTATAGTCGATATCTGAATGAGAAAGCTGTTTCATATAGACAGGTTGCCTTTGACTTCACAAAAGTGAAGAGGGGGTGAGAATCTTCAATTTTTCTGCCATTTGTTCTCTATCATGATAGATAATACTTACATATATACAGAATATACAGTACAAACATACACACATACAGTACATACATACCAAGAGTAAATACATTTATACGTACAGAACATGCATACATACAGTTCATACATCCTTGCATGCATACATACGTTCAATCTATTGTTTCATCCATAAAGAACTATTTTTAATATTAGTCATTTTTCCCCAATATCTTGTTAATGAACCTGTTCCTCGTCCTCGTGTTTGTGTCCACCTGTGTATTCCAGGGTGGATGGTGTAATGAGAACCATGAATACTGAGAAGCTGCTAAAAACAATTCCAATTATTCAGAACCAAATGGATGCACTGCTAGATTTCAATGTAAGTATAAGTGCTTTCTTTTGCTAAATGAACGTCTGATGGTTTTACTGTATATGTTCAAGGTTCAAATTTATCGTCCCCTCAGGGAAATATGTCTTAGGCTCACAGCTGTTGGACACAAACACACACTCGGCAACAGGACAACCAGCTCGTCTGCACAGTTTCAACACAAGAATATACCATAATATTGACCAATCACATCACTACAAGGATCCAACATAATACACTTGTGAAAGTGATACAAATCAGTGTTTACACAAAAAGTAAAAAAGTACATAGACGGACTTAAAGGTATATTGGCGGATTTTCTAGTCCCGGGGGGATCTCAAGACTATTGGTCCTCCTAATTGTCAATCATTCTGGTGATACGTTCTCGTCAAAAAAGACCAGAGAGTTTTGTTTATAAAGTGGAGAGGGAGCGTTTTTTTCCTAAAATTTGAGAAAATTCTCTTATATACAGTACTTAGTATAATGCTAGTGCGGTGCAGATTAAGAAGTATATTGCATAAGCTACATTTCTGAAATAGTTACTAGTTGCTGCACTTTCCCTGTCCAATAAAGTCATTTCTATATATAGCAAAAATAAATGCTTTCTCTGTGTACAGTGTGTGCGTTTGTAAACAATGATGCTTGTTTTTTCCCCAGGTCAATGCCAATGAGTTGACTAATGGAGTGATCAATGCAGCGTTTATGCTGCTCTTCAAAGACTCCATCCGGCTTTTTGCAGCGTACAACGAAGGCATCATAAACCTCCTCGGTAATGATCATTTCACTCTGAGCGCTTCTGTAGCACAAGGCTGTTTTTGTCCTTGTGTTTGCTGACTCTATTCTGCTTTCTTCATTCAAACCAGAAAAATACTTTGACATGAAGAAAACTCAGTGTAAAGAAGGTCTGGATATCTATAAGAAGTTCCTCACTCGAATGACCAGAATATCGGAATTCCTCAAAGTAGCAGAGGTAACAATATGCTTTTCTTAACATCATTGACTGTCAGTGTTTTCTAAAGGTACCTAACTTCCCCCCCCATTTATAAACCATACTGTTTTTCCCAAAAGACAGGGTAAAATTGTGTAAAAAAAAGAAAACATGTTTTATTTTGGATATTAGTACGACATAGCCCAGAGAGTCCCGATTTGTTCCCTTGGGCTGAGTGAGGGTGGTCTGCTCTTTTTCACTTTTCAGTCTGAAATATGTGACAATGTTGTGATACAACCAAACTGTTTTAGAGGAACTCATGAGTGGATTATGATATGTTTATGGTAAGGATTAACACAAGGAATCCCATAATTATGAAAATACTAGAACTCTCAGTGCTGTCAATTTGACTGCTCTCATTCAAACCAATAGGCTATTTATTATTGGCTATTTATTATTTTAATCCTGTGTGTGTTTTTATTGTTTTAAGGTTTTTAATTACTTAATTTTTTTTCTATGTGTATATGTAGATTTTAATGTTTCTGATTGGGTTGTGATGTGGGTTGTGAGGCGCTTTGAGTTGCCTTGTGTTGGAAAGGCGCTATACAAATAAAAGTTGATGGATTGATTGATAGAATTCTGAGAAATTGCTCCAAAAAGCTTTAGTTTTTCGACAGATGTAATAAAAGTACCTTTACCCACTTTAATGATAAAACTGGTCAAAAGCAGTCTGTTCAAAGGCTACAAAACTCTAACTAGTAGCAATTATACATTATGTTGCTATGGTAACTGGTACGCTCTCTACTCTGGGATGCAACGGTAGAACCACTCTCATTTCAAAAGTGAAGAAAACGTTCTAAAAATAATTGCATAGAAATAATAATATTAATAATATTACATACCACAAGTTATGAAGACCAATAATCCGGCTTTTAGTTGCACAAAACTAAAAGCCGTCAAACTGACTGCTCTGGGAGTTCTAGTGTTAATGAAAATCGAGCATTATAATACAGCTCACATACTATAGGCCCAAAACTGTATAGTATTTCTCCTACTATAAATATTTGTTGTTTGTGTGTTCACAGCAAGTAGGCATTGACCGGGGTGACATTCCAGACCTCTCACAGGTAAGCAGCCATTTCTGTCTCTGTAAATCGGTACGAGCACAAAACATATGGCATCCTTTACCATCCTTGTTCAGGAGGCACAAAAATCTATATTGCAGAATTCAAACTTATCGTATGCATGAAATCTTTTACTGCATGTAGCTGAGTCTTGATCCTTTGGTTTACCTTCACTATTGTTTGTACCCTGTCTCTCTGTAGTAACAGCTCTCATTCTATAGCAGCCGACGATAACTTATTTATTTAATTTTAGTTCATATTATAGAATGTAATCCGTTTTGACTGTGGCTAAATTGCATTTTCCTCTGACTGTCACCACCTTCTTTCTATTCTGTATTCTCCCTTTTATCTCTCCACTTTAGTTCACAGTCTGTGTAAGTACTATCATTCCACTCTACTTCTATATAACTTGGCTTCAGTGTTGTCCTTTGCATGCTTCTGCTGCTCTGAATCGGTTTCCTCCATCGTGTGTGTGTGTGTGGTGTCAGGGAGGGGCAAACACTGGTAAAAATCATGTTCACCTTTCCCGTTTTGAAGTTTAGTTCATCTACATCTCTGTAAATGGACACCCTCTGTGTTTAAGTAATTCAACTTTAGAATGAGCTGCCATTCCACATAAATGGTATTGTCATCCTTAAGTGGCTTTTGGCTGCAGTCATTGATCAGTGGTAGGTAAGGAGTAAATATTAACCTCACGCCCAGACTACTAAGTGGCTTTTGTGTTCCAATGTGCTTACCTACCACTGTCGTTATGATTGTGAAATTGTAAATGTATTGTAAAGGGTTGCTTTAAGATATTCACTCTGTCATAACAGGCTCCTAGTAGCCTATTGGAAGCTCTGGAACAGCACTTGGCATCGTTAGAAGGAAAGAAAGTGAAAGACTCCACCGCTGCCAGCAGGTAAGACATCCGCTACTCTTAAAGCTGGGGTACCAAATGTTTCCTCCATAACACATACATTTGTATATGACAACATAGAGTCTTGTAAAAGTCATAACAATGTAAACAAATAAGATCACAACACAACATGATTATGATCAATAGCCATCAAACTTGTTATCTTTAGTTCACGTCTGAGAAATCTGAAAAAATCACAACACATAAATTAATGTGAAAACTAGTGATAGATTTTATTACATTTTTCCATTTTTTATCTTTTGAAAGCAAGGGACCCCAACTTAAAAAGAGCTTATGGTTTTATAGCATTTAATTACTTGATCATTAGTAACTTGAGTTTTGGCTTGAACAGAGCCAGCACGCTGTCAAACGCAGTCTCATCACTGGCAAGCACAGGGATGTCTTTCACTAAGGTTGATGAGCGAGAGAAGCAGGCGGCTTTGGAAGAAGAGCAAGCACGACTGAAGGCACTGAAGGTAGCCTGCACCAATTGGACAGGAAATTAAAGCTTTGATAAACGTGACATTTAATGGGATTTTTTTCACCCAGGAGCAGCGACTCAAAGAGCTTTCCAAGAGGCCCTCGTTTTCTACGACAGACACATCACCAGTTTCCACCACCGGGGGCACTATTAGCACAGCACTCGCTATAGACCTCTTCTCAACACCCAGCTGCTCTAATGGGTGAGTCTTATTAACTATTCATTTGATGAAAGAGAGTCTAAAATTGGTTAAAAATAGTACTTTGAATCCACTGCAGAGCAACGTCTCATATCACAAGGTTATGAAATAAAGCTAAATCCTCCATTTGTGACTTGTGAAGTGGTCCAGTATCTGCTACACATGATGTTTGAAGACTCGCCCCTCCCCAGACAGAACTTGTTACTAGCCGCTTAGCCGGGTCATCTGACTGTTTATAATGTAAAAGAAGGCAAGGCAAGGCAAGTTTATTTGTATAGCACAATTCAAACACAAGGCAACTCAAAGTGCTGAACAAAACAAGATAGCATTATAATCATAAATAATCACAGTACATTAAAAAAGATAAAAATATAAAATCCCTCAGTTGTATAAACAGCTAAACAGAACTGTTTTCAACCTGTGAAGTGTCAGGTAAAATAACAACATTTAGATTAGGGGTGCTCAATACGTTGATTGGTCACAAAAGCAGACATGACATATCCGAGTACACACAAAACATGTACGCTTTATATGTCATGATACCATGGTTTCTAATAACTTTAAGACAACTTGTGGTTTGTTCACAACTTTTATTATGCTTTTTTTCTGTTGGGATAAGCAAGATGTATTATACAAAAAAAAAAAAAGTTTGGAGCCCCAGCTTTAAAGCTGCACTAACTGACTTTATTTTTGTATTCATTACGAAAAAGCTATCCATGTCCATGCAGTGCATTGGGATATACGTCCTTTTGAAGAAAAAGTAGCGCAGATTTGTACTGGCGTAACATAATATTTTAGATTGAGTTTTGATGAAACAAGGAAGAGAATGTGTTTCGGGTCGCAGATTGTGACCAATCACAGCGGACCACTAGCCCCCACTTTCGTAAGAAATCTACAGGTCCGTCGTTTGCACAGACAGCTGAGTTAGCACAACAAGCCGAGGAGCTAACCTGAAGCTTCGTGTGTCTTCGTCACCGGTTACTGCTTACACAGCGAAACAGCCATCCAAAAGAAAGTCTCGTTCCTCCGCGCTTCCCGGTTCTATCGTTCTATGGTCACGGCATCCACGTGAAAATCCATATCCATGGTTTATCCATATTGGGAGACACTAGCTCCGTCAACAACACTGTGTGTGTGTGGGGGGCGATAGCTTCGTGGGTGCGGGGAGGGGAGCAGAAAGAGAGAGGCCAGCGGGTCTGCGGCTTCAAAATCCCAAAGTCAGTTAGTGCAGCTTTAAACAACTCTTTGTGTTTGTCCACAGCGCGGTGAAGATAGACAGCGACTTGTTTGACCTGCAGTCCTTCCAGGCCTCAGTGCAGGCGGGCTCTGGGGGGCTTCCTGCAGCCTCAGCCTGGTCCGGTAGGACTTCACTCATGCCTCCTCTCTGCTGCTCTGCATGCCCTCCCGCTTTTGTTTCTGTGTTTCTCTGATGGTCGATTTGATATCAACAAGTATCTAAGAGTCGAGGATCAATGTCAACGTTGTGATCCTAGACCCTGCCCCAATGACCCCTGATGGCTTGGCTATAATCAATATTGTTAAATTAAAAATAAATTTGAAATTTTGTATTATTTTTTTTACCTAATGACAATATTGTAAACTTTTCAAGCACATTTTTTTTTAAATATCTTTTTAAACTTCAAGGACTTGCTGGCTCAAATATGGGTCTCCTCTACATACTTTTCTGGATGTTTTTGTTAAATGTCAGTCAACCTAGTTTCCTATGTTGTTCATGACACAAACAAACAGTTCAGAAAAACATCTGAAAAACAACTAGAAAAGCTAGGGGTATCGTCCTGTAAATTTGAGTTATGTTGCCCAAAAAAACAGGCAAGCAAGCTGTACAGTACTTGTTGATATCAGGTCGTGCTGCTCGGATGGACACCTTCTCCAACTCAGTCTGATTTTCTGATTTCTCTTTGCCTGCGTAGATCCTTTCACCTCTGCAGAAGACGGAGATGAGTCCATGCCAAACCTTAACCCTTTCCTCTCCAAACTTGTTGCTGATGCCTCTCACTTACCTGTCGTGTCCTCTGACGGCGTTAGCTTTTCCTCTAGGACTGCTCATGAAATGTTTGGTGGTAATGGCTCATTTTGTTTCCCCTCTTGTAGCTTCTTGTTAGCATGACAATCCTAGCTGCATGGCCAATGTGGTACTGTACCTTCAGATAGATGTTCTTTCTTTCTTGTGCTCTTTTTCTCCTTCCTTCTGTTGTTAAATTTACTACCACAATATAGATAAGTGTATTAGATCAACATTCTTTGATAAAACTTCCCCACTGTATACATTGCTGCCAATAATCTAATATATTTGTGTTCTTTTTACCAACACTATTTTTGATTTCCCAGATCGTTACAATCCCTTTATTGACACAAACTCAACAGCCAATAACAGACGCACAGTGCGGATAGAGCACTCCGTCTCAGGTACTACTGCGGAACTCCATTTCTCCCTATGTTTCTTAACAAACATAGGATCCCATTTCATAAACAATGGACAGAAATGATAATCCCTCCATATTTGTAGATCCTCAACACACATGTGCAATCCCTTTCTATGTCTTACTTTCTGCTTGCAATGCTTTAATCTGTGTGTAATATGGCTGGGCTGTGACAGTGTCCCTCTCTTTGTCTTGCGTCGTGCTCCATGTGCTGTTTCAGACTCCTTCTGTGGTCCAGTGTCTGTGGCTCAGCACCTCCCACACCAGGCTTCTTTCCCTGTTGAGCCGTCCGCTGTAACAGGTCTATTCAAAGGTAGAGTATTAAGGGCCTGCATCGTAGTGATAAGAATCAGACTCATGCAAATCGGGATCTTTGTACGACAAAGCCTCCTGGCTGGTTTATTCACAAAATGGTCGTTAATTTCAGGCAGAACAAAAGACACAGATACATTATATATGGAAATCTACGTCATCATAGAAAAGGCCAAACCTTCGGCACCAAATAGCCTAAACAACGAAAGTCTCTGTGGTCCTTGAGACCTCCACAAGGCCAGGTTATTAATACTATTTTGTCTTTCATTTGTCCACCTGTGCAGTACATAGGTCACTGTTTACCACACCCTCCCATTTTATCACATAAACACATGTGATAATAAAAATACAAAAACAACAAAAATAAATCAATCAATCAACAAAAACTTACAATCATGAAATCAAGTAAAGTGAATAACAGTATATAGACCTCTTGTTACGTTCAGCTTGAAATCTTTTCCATTCTAAAGGTCATTTGTTTCTTTTTGAGTTCCTCTCTAATCTGTGATCTCTCTTAGGATACGGACCACCGCATGCCCCCCAACAGCCAGCAGGGGAACTGCACGTAGACTTTGAGTCTGTTTTCGGAACAAAAGCCACTGATGGTGAGACTCTTGTATTTACTGTAGGTAGAGGTGCACTTGTGTGTTTAAGAAAGGAGGATGTAATTTGCACATGAACAATCAAAGACATGCATTCAGATGTCCTATCAGTGATTACCTCTGAACACAAACATGTAAAGTTGGAAACCAGGAGGTCTCACATTCCATGAATACCAATGTGTTTGACAACAGTTTATGCTTTGTTTAACAAAGATGGAAGGTTACATGTTTGTTCTCCTCAGAGAGACAAGTGTAGTGTTGGTATGTTACGGTTGTTCTTGAGCACAAACATATTTTTTACTTTTAATATTAGTTTGTTATACACATTATTACATCACATGTTATACAGCATCAACATTATTATTATGCCATTGTAAGTAACAGGAATTCACAAGCTGGAAATTAACATTATTTAAGTTTTAAGTTAACTATATTATTAATATTAATATACATATGAATTACATTGGTGTATGTGAAGAAGATGACAAAGTCTGGGATCGCGTCTTTAATTCAGACAGAAGACATGTTTTATTGTCGATGGTAGAGACGGCACGAACAACAGATACAACAGAATGCAAGTGTATTATACAGAGCGGAGGCATGGAGACCTCCAATCAGCAGCTTCCACGTTGTGCTTGTAGCTTGGCCTTCAGATAGACAAAACAAGGGAAAAGTACTGGCTTCTGCACATTGATAGAATGATGAGTTTAACTTTAACAAAAGTTGCTTCAAAGTGTTATGAAATCTCACATTCCCCCCTCTGGTCATACATTCTCGTGTGACCATCAGGATCGATAAACAGCAACATAACATCATAACTCAATACTTCAAAAACTCATAAACTCGGTACTTCACTCGGTACTTCAAAAAACTCAGAACTCGGAATACTTAAAAAAACTCAAACTCATAAAACATGTTCAGATCTTTCATAAAACTTGTCAACAATCTTCAGTAAAATACCAAACTTCATCAGTCGATGGTGGTTCCAGATATTGCTTTGAAAACAGTCTCTCCCACTTCTCCTGTTGGTTTCTTCAGGCTGCATTTGTGTCGAGCCATGAATTCTTCTGTGACGTGTCTTTCAATCACACGTTTCAGCTTCAGTGTCCAGATTCAGCAATTCAATTCAGTCCAAATTGTGGCCAAATTCATAAATCCAATTGTTCCAAATTCTGTCCAAATTGTGTAATCCAATTTTTCCAAATGATGTCCATGCAAAAGAGGCCGCTGGTATTGTCCATGTCTCAGCAGCTCACAGCAGGCCTGAGTGGAATCAGGGGCTGTGCAGATAGTTCAAGTGTGCTGGTCCAGATGCATTCTCTTGAGGTTTTTCAGTTTTGGCTTGAAAAAAAACCACATTTTTGTGTAAAAAAAAAAGGTCTTCTGTTCTGTAGATGTTACAGACAAGGCCCGCATCCTTCCACCACCTGAAGAAGATGACAAAGTCTGGGATCGCGTCTTAAATTCAGACAGAAGACATGTTTTATTGCCAATGGTAGAGACAGCATGAACAAAGCAAACAACAGAATGCAAGTGTATTATTCAGAGCGGAGACATGGAGACCTCCTCCAATCAGCAGCTTCCACGGTGCCATGTAGCTTGGCCTTCAGATAGACAAAACAAGGGAAAAGTACTGGCTTCTGCACATTGATAGAATGATGAGTTTAACTTTAACAAAAGTTGCTTAAAAGTGTTATGAAATCTCACATATGGTTTCTTGTATAATCATTTGTATAATTCATATCATTTCTGATACATCATGTTTCTCTGTAGATATTACTGGGGGCATGCTGAAACCCACTCTTGCCGGCTCTGACCTGCTGCCCAATCAGCTGCCAGATAAGCTGGTCTCAGATGATCTTGACTCTTCATTGGCTAACCTTGTCGGCAGTATGTTTTAAACAAGCCTTCGATCTTCGTTTTGTTGTAAAGATGAAGATAAGTGGAAGTAATTATTTATGTGATCTTTTCCAGATTTGGGTATTGGTAACGGCACAATGAAAAAGTAAGTTCTGTCATCATTATTAAGGGTTGATTAAACAATGTAAATACAGACGGTCTTACATCCATCTGTCTTAATGCATAGTGACATCCACTGGAGCCAGCCTGGAGAAAAACGAATGACCGGCGGGATGCACTGGCAACCCAAGGCAGCACCCTCCACAACCTGGAACCCAGTGTCCATGGTAACTAGAATACACTAGTGCATTTGTAGTCTGATCCACTATCTCAGAGTGCATTTATGTGTAGTGTTGACCGTCAATAATGTGTGTGTGTGTGTGTGTGTGTGTGATTTAAGGCACCGTCAGTCATGGCCTTCCCCGCCACTACACCCACCGGCATGATGGGATATGGCATGGTGAGAAAACAGACAATACAAGCGACTACAACTTTCTCAACAACAATCAATGATTTAAGTTTTTAAGCTCAAACTAGGAGTGTCACAGTAACTATTTAACTTTTGATGGACGATGATATACAAACTACTCAATGTCACTGTTGTTACTAAAGCATTTTTTATTTGTCCATTTCATTTAAAAGCTTGTGTTGGGAAAAGAAACAGCTACATTTGATCTTATTTAGTTGTATTGAATCATCTACAGCTACAACTATAATGAATCATATACAGTTAAAAACCACATAATTTTATGTTGAACATAACAACAAATCTCACCACATTTTCCAATAAAATGTACAGGCTGTAAATATTGAGACCCGTATTATGTTGTTTTATCTCTCAATGCTTGAGTTCTAAGTTGATATAGTAATTATCGTGAGGTCGCTGTGAAACCTTTCATTGACTCATGGCATTAGCATATAGCTGCTTTGTTTGTTTTCTGCTGCTCTGCTACATCAACATCTGACAAAAGTGATTTGTGTGTGTCATGCTCTAGCCTCCACAAGTGGGCTCAATGGGAGTCATGAATCCACCCACGATGATGTACAGCCAGCCTGTAATACGGCCCCCCAACCCCTTCGGCTCTGTGTCGAGTGCTCAGGTGGGTGCAAAGTACTGGAACAGTAGTCAACCGAAGCAGTGATGTCAGTGTTACCAGTAAATCCACTCTGCCGCCATGGGCTCTATAATTAGCCAGTGAATGATTTGTGCGAATATGAATATGACAGTTTAAACAATTGACCTTTCACTCTTTAGGCTTCAGAAAAGGACAAACTCTGAATCATCACCCTCTTTTTGTCTCCCAGTTATTTTCTAAATGTCCTTATATTAACACATGTCTGATTAATCTGAGTTTTTCCAATACTAATCTCATACCTGGTTGAGTCTGACTCTTAGTTTTCCTCTTGTCCTGTACTTCCTGTTATTTCTTCCCCATCAGCCCTCCGCAGCCTCTAGTCCTTCCAGCCAGAGTCCTCTCCGCGCTCCCGGACAGGACCCATTTGCACACCTCTCTCTCAAGGATTTCTTGTAGAGGATCTGTTTAGGTACAGCATGCCCTTTGCTTGTAGTCACTGCATGAACATTGTTAAAACCCTCTGTTTATACATTTCTTGTCATATGCACATGTTCCACCAGTTTTACTATAACAATAATCATTTTATATCACCATCTTAATCCTCTTTATCATCATCTTAAATCTTTATGGCTGTTCTTAAAGCTGGAGTACTTAACTTTTATATTTGTTGTTTTATAAATGCATTGTCTTTTTCCCAACAAAAGTCTTGTTTAAGTAACGAAGTAAGTGCAAAACAGACCACTACATGTCTGTTGTGGACTCTGGTTGCTGTCTTCATCTTGAAAAACATATTATCCTTTCCATGTTGACAGCCGATGTGAGTGAGGGCTGGTACTCTCTCTTTCTGGATTACAGTGACAGAGGCCAAATAAGACATGCATGTAACTACTCGGGATTGAACCCAACAGTTTTGAGATCAAGGAACTACTTACATGGACATACTAATGTTTTGTGTTTTCAAAACTAGGTACTCCAGCAGTAAGACCTAACACTGCCACTTTACGACAGATATTGTCACTCGATTATCTCACAGTTTGAGCTGAAGGATAATATTTAGTATACAACAATGAACTATCTGCACAAAAGGTGCATGTGATGGAGGCCAATTCTATGTGTTTTGACTTATGTTTAAGTGAATAAACTACAGTAGACTTATACATTTCACCTTAAATTGGATTATTATCACAGAATGTTTTTTTCTGGTTTCATAAAAGGCGAGTTGTAAACATGATTGCTGTTGATAATGTTTTGTCTGATCTGTGTCATCTGCTATTCTACCACATGCCTACATTTAAGTTGATTAGGTAATTGAGGCTGTATTATCTTCACTCTTTTAAACTCTTTCTTTTCTGCAGATGGAGTTCATGTGAATTGGAAGAGGAGTTTCTCTTAGAGTGAAGCCAAGCTGTTGTCCAGGTCCTGCAGTAAACTCTTAAGAGAAACACAAACATGTCCGGAACATACTGGTGCAATGACTGTCCCGATGACGTTTGGGGAGCGCTCTCACCCATTCTTTTGTAACTTGTCCAAGATGTCAAGTGACTCTACCCTCCCACTGCTCGAGGATCCCTGACCAGTTGTAACTGTGTGATCTGGAAAACACTTTGGAGTGCTGATCAACTTTGTTTCGTTCGTGGAAATGCTGTGGTTTGATGTGAAATATGTGACCGCAGGGGGCAGCAGAAGGCAATTGAAAAGCAGGGTATTTCCTTGATGCATTCACTTCAATTGTCACAAATAGTGATGCTACTGACGTTTACACCCATTTTGTTTTTTGTTCTTTTTTACTGTGTCCACATAGACATTCCTTGTGTGCTGGTTGTATTTATTTATGAATGTCTGAGTGAAAATAATGTTAAATCTTCACTGAACACCTGTGGGAGGCCATCAAACAAAGTTCTCAGACTATAATTGGGAGTTAGTAAAAATAGATATTATATAATTAAAGTACACCCATTAAGCGAAATGATAGAGCACTATATATTCTTCAGTTTTGTGTTTTGTAAAGTTTTACTAGATGAGAGATTTCACAGTCTCCTTTGTACTTACCGTTGCAAGGGGTAGAGTAAGAGTCAGTAACTTGTATGTAGTCAATTCTGTGCCTAGGGTTTTAATCAAACCACTTTTTATCCACCAATCAAAGGTGTCGCATTTGGAGGTGGCTCCATCTGGTTTGAACTCGGCATGCCATTGACTCACTGACTGAATATTTAAGGCTGCCTTTCTCTGAATGTGAAACAGTTGTCTTCATGTTGCACACATCTTTCATGCTACAGTCCTTCAGTGGGGAGCGTGTGTCTATTACAGGGAAGGATGATAGATTAGATGTAAAATAATTGTATAAAAAATCCAGAGTGGATTTAAGAAGCACTGTTGATCGGTGCTATGTATATAAAACTGTTCTTTGAGTGCAAAGTGAAAGATGTATGAAATATGAAAACAATTCAATCCAATTTGACTCTTCCGAAGTTTATTTCAGAATGTTTTCTGCGTTGTTGCCGCAGATATGTTCTTTATGTAATTATAATCTGTAGCAGACAATAAAGTCGTTTCTTTCTTTTACAAATAAAGAGCAGCTTCCACAAATGTTAATCATGTTCTCATATGTTTAATGTTGTTACATTCTGATAGGACAGTTACAAATTGGGTTGGCCTTTTTGGCACCAAATAAAGTCAGAGGAAGAAGCCTATTGACTGACTGAGATGTGTCTAAATAAAGTCAAATATAAATCATCTATTTGCTTAAGCTGATCCGGTTTTCCTGCTCGGAGGATTCCACACAGTTAAATATTCACACCCCTTTGACAAACATAAGCTGTGCGCACTGAGGACCCCTGCTGGCAGAACATCGCAACTACAACAGCATCGTCACTCAGCCTCGCGTGTTTTCAAACAAGCAACAGGTTTCATGGTTCATTTTCCATCATATTACGATGTCACAGCTGAAGGCGAATGTATAATAGTGTAGCTGGAGTCCGCTTTTCAGTTTCCTGGAGCCGCAGAAGCTGGAGGAGTGACCGCGCTTCATCCTCCGCCCCACAACCAACTCCTCACCCGCGGAGAGGCGCCCTGTCCAGAGGTAAAGCGTCCACTGTCCGCGCCATGTAGTGGACTGTAGTGGACTGTAGGAGCCCAGAGGAAAGGTAGGGCCGACTTTTACTGTCACTGCATATCTGTCTTCTTATAAACATCTTTGAATGTTATTGCAAACATTAATTGTTAGGGGCAGCTCTTAATGTTAATTATTTGGACTAATGGCATTGTTATTATATTGTTTTAAACATCTGGTTATTTATTTCATCTTTTTGCTCGGATCCTTCTATATATTTAGAGTATGAACTTGCCCCATCGTTTTATTCATGTTTCCAACTTGTAGTCATGTATTTTATGTGTCAAAAATATCGGGAAAAAAGCTAGTATCACAACCATGGATCTGATCACAACAAGATACAATTTCACGTTTATTGGGAATTTCTAGCTATTTTCTTAAAGCTCGATCAGAAGAACTGAGTCTGTACAGTTTGAAATTTGGTATCGGGATAACACAACTTTAATGTAATTGTATGATAGTAACAGTATACTTTAAATACCATCTGTAGACAATGTGTGCATGTGCCAGATTATAACCATCTTTTGTCCCTAGACAGAAAACCCAAAGAAGATATACATTTACAAACATTACATATTGCAATACTAGACAGTTGAGTGTGGGACTTGTTGTCAGAAGGAGCCTGACTTACAGACAGCACCATTCTGATCTCACTGTTAACCTTCACATGTGTCCAAACCCCAGGTCCTGGTGTCATATTCTCATATCAGCACCTGGAGGAACCCTCAAGATGATCGACCTGAGCCACCTGACAGAGGAGGAGCAAAAGGCCATCATGACAGTCCTGTCCAGGGATGCAGAGCTCAAGAGGGCTGAGGAAGAGCGGATACGGTACCTCTACTTTACTTTATTACCTATACTGAACAGAGTGTAGCAAAAATACGCCAATATCAAGTGTTGAACCTGATGCAAAATGAGTGTACCCAGGTAAAAGTTGCAAAATGTGCACTATTATGAATGCAACATTGCCTGGAATTTAAAGTCTTTTAAGTTCAATCGTTTAAGTTAATGCCCTGTTATTGGAAAAATGCAGTTTGATTGCCATTCCAAGTTTTTACAAAGTCATTCATTTGGCAGTTTTATAAGAGGGGGCCTTGGAAGAACAGTAAACATGTTGTTCAAGACTGGATGCTTCTCTGACTATAATAGAATAACACAATAATCGCTTGGCCAGATACAGACGCGGCCTTCAACGCTGAGAGACCTCAATGTGAGATGCGCAATTCAATTAGGGCCCAGTTGAAGTCGACACATGAGAGAGGATCATGCCACTGACTGAAATAGAGATGTGACAGCAGCAATAACTTTTTTTTGAAACCCTCACGCACATATTTAACCTAAAATAGGACAGAAGAAACATTGGCCCAAAAAACAGATTAGCCTAAAACAGAATGACAACATCTTTCTCTTCTACATACAGAAGTCATGAACAATTCTTCTATCTCTCCCTACGCAATAAAACTATAGCTTTCCTAGACCTATAACGAAGTATAAATGGATCGTCTCCGTGAGGGTGAATGTGTGCAGTGTCTGGAGCAGTGTAAAAGGATTAAGGCAGCAGGCTGTAATGATGTCCTGAACTTTATTCACATGACTACAAGCTCTGCGTCCAACAGAGAGGAGCCAGAATGGACTTTCCTTTTTCCTTTTTTAGATTTGATTCAATTTTGAGCTTTGTAGAAATATCTTTTGTCTGCTGTGGGTTTAGATTATCAATTAGTAGTATTACGACTAGTATTAAGAGGTAAAAAGTGTAAAACGTTTTTATTTTACACACATTATAAGTTCAAACTTAATATTTAAGATGTCAAACTCATGTTGTGGATATAGGAATGTCGTGCTAAGTTCATATAAAACAACAGTTACAGCAGAAAGAAGTGTTTGCTCCTCCTCTACGGGCCAGTAACTTAACATCAGTCAGAATTAGAAATACTAATCAAATATTTTAGTTTCATATTCCGATCCATAAAACCACTAGATCTAATAATTTCCATCAAACCTCTGTTGTACATCAACAATTTCAATGGAAGCAGGTTTTTGAGACTCTTACCAGCGAAGTCTTTGAAACTGCTTTGTAAAACACATGTGAATGTTTTGTTGTGATGTTTAATCTTCTGAATAAAATAATTAACAACAGATGCTGCAAGATCTGCATCAAAAGCCTGAAATTGTTGTCGGCTGATGCATGTTATAATTACATGTCTTTGTATATTGACTTCAGAAAACTGGAGAATGTCGTGAACAGTGGCTACCAGCAGCCCGACGTCAATATGAAGTACTTCACTGGAGAGTGGTTTTATGAGGCCAAGTCTCGCAGGCACATGGACAAGATCCATGGGTCTGAGATCATCATGGCCTCCATGAAGCGCAGTACGTCTGCTCTGGGTGAGATATAAACACATTTCTTTGTGTTGCAAAAGTTACTGTATTGACACTTGTCTGGTTCAGATGGCTCCCCGAGAATTGAAAGATCAAAGTCTGCCAGCAGTCTTGACTCAAGCTCGATGCCTCCCCCAAAACCTGCGAGAACCTGGGACGCACTGCAGCCACAGGACATCAAGTACGTTTTGTAGAAGCCTGACCTCTACTTTAATAAAGTGATATCATTATTCAAGTATAGTATGGTAAATACACCTAATAAGATAAACTACAAAAACTGTGGTGGAGTGTGACTGAAACCCATCAGGGCTTATCCTAAACACTGTTCATATTTGGAGAGTATATTTTTCCAATACATTTTACCATCAGAGACATGTATTCATATATTGACCATAATCATTTTATAGTATAACAAATACAAAAATATAAAAAATAAAATACTTATCGTTTGTTTGGAACTATTTTAGTAACAAGGCAATGTACTGCAGTGTAAATATAAAAATATATGGTACCTTAAAAAAAAAAAAACGTTGTCGTGCCCTTTTGTGACTCCTGTGAGATGTAGGCTCTTATAAGTTTAAGCAGTAAGTGTGCGGTGCCCCATGACTGTGTAACTGTGCAAACAAAGGTGGTGCTCAGTGAACAGTTGTGTTTTATGGATGAACAGCATCCGGCTGCAGTCTCCACACACACACCCGCACACACACACGCACGCATACAAGTCACACAGGAGCAAGTTAAGGTGGAGCCATCCAGTACATCCAGCTAGTCTGTGGAAGAGTGGAAGAATCACCTATTTACTGTTCTACAAATTATTTTTCAGCCCCAATGAAAATGAAGCTCTCCAAATACGCTCCCCAAGAACTGTAAGTGTTAATTCATATGTATTTCAGGACATATTTGTATTCCACTCATGGTTATCAATACAGGCTGCAAAGTAAAATACTATGTGCAGTAATTTTAGGGGTTTATTCCTATCGTGCGGGATCGTCATAAATGAGCTGGCTCCAATGTTAAGGGGCTCTAATCACTGCATAAAAATGAAATCACTGAAAAGTATACATCTTTATGCATTTTGTATTGATTTTTTGTTTGTCTTCATATCAGCCACGACACAACCCTTTTAACCGTGCCTCTCTTCTTGTGGTGGATCCTCCTGAAAACACTGTGGACTTTTCAAACACCACAGATAAACAAAATCCAGGTAAGTTTTCTCTTGTACAAAAAAGTATGTAGTTTGTCTGTAATGTGTCATTTTGATAACGTGTCATGTCGATTATAAACAAAGCATGCCACTAAAGTATGTGTTGTTTTGCTCATGCTTTCTGCTCAGAAAGTCGTCCTGCTGGCTCTGTCACCTCTGATTCTTCCTCCGCTGGTTTTCGGCCTGTTCCCAAAAAGAGGACGTTTGTCTCCCGCCGCTCCAGCACCTCGGACAATGTGGGCCCTCCTCCTGGACTTGTCCCCGCTCCACGACGCAGGCCTCGGAATGGTTCAAGTGGGAGCTCTATTCAGTCTAATGTTAAGCCACAAGACAACTCCGACATAAATGTAAAAGCAACCTCGCCAAAACAAGAGGTGAAGTCATTTCAGACTTTCTCTACATCGGGTTTGGAGGGAGACACTCCTGCAACACGGAAAAACAGGTGATCACACTCATGGTCCTTAAATTGTGTTTGAACCAATTGTTTTCCTAATGTGGAAGAGACCAAATGAAGCAGGTAGCAACGCCATAGCAACCAAAGAGCCAATCAGCAATTTGAGAACAGAACGCACATGATTTTGGATTAGGGTTAGGGTTAGGCATTAAAAACCACAGATTTTTAAGGACACAAACGATTACAGAGTTTGAGGAGTTTAATATCAAGATTAGAGAGCTTTTATTTGTCCCACAGCGGGGAAATTTCAGTTTTGCATTCCCAGTTACAGAACAGTAGGAATGAGCACACAGCACATGGTAAATTAACACGGCACAGGATAACATAAATGAACACAGCTCATGAACACTAAACTCTATACTAAATAAAATAAAATAAAATAAAATCTCTAGCTTTAGCATGATAAGAAAGCAGTCTAATCTTCAAAGCAGTTTACTTTTCATTGTAAGTTAATGTTTTCCAATCATGGAAATGTATCATGCGAATGAAATGTATATTATGTTATGAAGCTGATAAGTGCAACAGCATTTTAATGAAAGGAATAAATATAAATGAAATGAAAAATGAAATGAAATGCCAAGCCGACAGGGAGCAGTATTTCTCCCATATTTCTCGTCCCTATTAAAGGGTCAGCTTCATAGAGATTAGAACTTTCCCATCTATGTAAACAAGCTATGATTAAACCTTGCTTTTGTCTGTCTAATTTCAGTTCAAAAGATGATGTTGAAGAGAGACAAGACAATCACAAACTAGAGCTGCTGCCTGTAGCCACGGGGAGCAGCATTCACCCTTCAGACGGCAACGTGAGCAGTGTGGGGTCCGCGAGCAGGCAGGAGTTAAGCTTCACCCGAAGTAGTGTGGGTAAGAGAGGAGGCACTCACTTAAAGATGGAGTCTCTGAAAATGTTATGGTTTCATGAATACATTATTTTTGTCCTAACTGAAAGAGTCTTGTTTTAGTAATGTGCTGTCTTTATCTCATTGGAAAACATATATATTTTACATACTGAGAGCGGATGCAGTCAGGACTGGTCCACTCTTTTAGGCCCTGACCCAACACTGCAATAAACGATAAGATAAAAACTGTTGAATGCCACTGATGCTACAATCGAAAGACAGTCTTCAACAAAAGCACAAGAAAATAATCAGAAGAATGATGTGGTAATTAGCCATATCTCACCATTTAAAAAGCAGCGTGACATTATGCATTTCATCAAAAGCAAGACAATACAGTATTAGTCAAATGGACAAATCAGTTAGAATTCCATAATTAAGTGAACAATGAGGATCATATGTTACAACTTGAAATGTACCCATTCCGATTTGTGCATGACCTGTATACATTTATGCAACCCCTTTGATGCAAAGTTGTAAAAGATTTTTTTTATAAGAATTATTGATGGTATTTGTCATGATTATCAGACCACTGTACATTTGGTAAGAAAGATACACAAACCTATTAGTGCTGGGTATTATATAACACATGAGCTGCTTTGGTTTGTTTGTTGTTTCAGCCGCAGAACCACCAGTGTCTTATGATTTGAATTTTATTGATAAGGCCGATCAACAAGTGCCGGCCATAACCAAACAAGAACTTAGACTCAGCTCTCACGCCTCGAAGCCCATCGAGAATGAGGATGACTCTATCACCAAAGTGCTGGACTGGTTTAGCCGCAGCAACGACAGCAACGATTGGCTCAACGACACTGAGGAAACGAGCACAGGAAATGCAAAAGACATCAAAAGTGAGCATGTTCACCGCACTGGAGCCGATATCGACACTGGTACGCCATCTATCCCCCTAGAAATAAGTAAAGAATCAAATTTAAACATATGCGAATCAGCTCCTCCACAGGAAAACAAGGAAACACAACATGCTACCATTTCCTCTATGAAGTCTTTTTGGGAGAAAAGTAATAAAGGGCCACGCATATTGATGAGCAAAAGTAACTCATCTGCTGGCAAAGGCGAAAAGGGTAGCAGTACTACTACAAATTCTGGAATACATAGCAATGCCCCTGATCGTAAAGAAGAAAACAATCTTAAGCACCCGGATGAAAATCACGGCATGGATTTGGTCAAAGCCAATAGCCCACTTCAGAAAGATGATCATTCAATTTTACATTTAACAAAAACACAAGTAGAAACAACCTCTTTCGTTCCAACTGTAAACACGAATGCCATTTCCCATTTCACTGAAGAAATTAAATCTAATGAAATAAACCAAAAAATCCCTGAGTCTCCGCTACAAGCTAAAAGCAATTTGGAGTCAGAAAAGCTTGTTCCCATTAAGCCAAGTGGACTAAATAGCCCTAAAGATCAAATACGCAGTTTAAATGAGGATAGAAGACACTGTGGAGATAGAAGTCCCAAAAGTGTGGCCATTAAAGAGAAAAGCCCATTGTTAAACAGACATGTTGGCACACAGGACGTCCCGCAAAAGGATAAAGAAAGAATAAAGAATCTCAAATCATTCTGGGAACAGGAGAGGGCAAAAACAGGATTTGCTCTGAAATCCAGATTGGATAATAAAGGCACTAGTGTGAAACTAAGCAAAAGGCTTGCCAAGTCTGAGTTTGATATGCAGTTGATTGGGAAAGGCTCTGATAGTGAGGAGGACAACAGACCCACCCATATTCAGTCCAATCAAAAGGCAGAAAAGACATCGCCGAGTCTGGGCAAAAGACAGTTCATCACTTTGCGTGAGTTTTGGCATGAGGCCGTGTCCGAGTCCAAATTGTCACTGTCAGACAATACTAGAAGCCCTAAGCACAAAGAGATGAAATGTGGCGACTCCGAGAATAATTATGAAAAATCCAGTGTAAAACAAGCCCTTAACAGACCGCCCCCTCCTCCATACAGACCAAAGCTGACCGTGGAGAAGCAGACTGGCTCAAAGTTGGAGAGCAAGCCACCCAACCACTTGAATAACCACAACGCACTAGATTCCGCATGGCAAAGAGATGTTAGAAGGAGCTCCAAAGATTCAGGGAAATTGGCTAAAACCAGAAGGGACAGTTTTAGCAATTCCAGCTGTCATATGAACTCATTCCGTAGAGCTAAAAGCATGTTTTCTCTTTGTACTGATGAAACTGATCCAATACAACTGGATGTGAGCCCCGTCCACTCTCAAAGCAGGAAGCCCAGGTCGAACACAGAGAAGGGTACAGGTCTGCGGAGACACTCGGAGGACACAGAGGCTCTGACCCCTCGCGCTCGAGCCTTTGTGCCCACAGACTACAGGCATTACTTAGGGATGACTGACAGCAGCAACAGCCACGCCTCCCCAGTCCCCACTCCACAGGACAAGTGGCCAAAAGAGCTCAAATCCGGCCATGATAGCAGCAGGCGAGGAAGCAAGACACAACAGCGCCCCCTATCCCCAAACTACAGCAGTTCGGACACCTGCCAAGACAGTGCATCAGAATCCAGGTCCAACTCCAGGCTCAGCTCAAACCGTGAGTATCCTGCATTCTTTGGAATAAGGGATTATATCAGCTTTTTATTGGAAGCAGAACATCACAAAGCAATTAACTGAGCACATGCTGGTCTAAATCATTATAAGATGTCCGTGTGACATTATCTAAATTGATTTTCTTCCAATTTGGCTATGGTCATGCAGTCATGAGGCACAACGTGTTTAGAATTCTTCTTTTGTTCTAAATAAACCAACACACAACAAATTTAACTTTTTGATTCTTCAGAACTCGAGTCATTTTAAATGGACTTGATGCAGTGACAGTAAATCCCTTTACAAATCATCAACAATAAAATGTTTATACAGCCATTTAATAAAGGTGTGTTCACAGCGACTCGACCTCCAGACCCTTCTGTGTGGAGTTTGCATGTTCTCCCTGTGTCTGCGTACACTGTAAAAAAGAAAAAGTTAGTTCAGCTCAAAATTTCAAAGCAACCAGCTGCGAAGGATTTTTGAGTTGAAGGCATTAACTTAATTCTTCACGTTTTGAAGAACTACACTTTTTAAGTTGTGTCAGCTAAGTTTTCCAAGTTCTACCAACTAATTCAAGTTACTGGAAATGTCAAGTCTGTAAAACCTTACTTTTTTAAGCTCAGATTACTGTCCCCTACAATAACTTACTATTTTGAGTTTATGCCCCCACATTAAACCATCATGATGTTTATTTATATAGTGCATTTTACAGACCAAGGTCACTTGGGCAGGGGAAACTGGAGCACCTGGAGGAAACCTATGCAGACACAGAGAACATGCAAATTTTGGTCAAATTAGTTTTTTCAAAATGTTGAATGCAGCTGGTTGCCATGACAAATATTTAAATGAGAAAACGCAGATAAGTTGACCTCACTCTAGCTCGGTGAACTGTAAAAACGACAACTCAAAAATGTTCACCTTACTCAGATTTTTGCATTCACTGACAATAAAATTGCCAGTTGGAACTGGGACTGTCTGTTGTGAGCCACTTGAACTCACTTTCAGAAGTTCACTACAACTTCAAAGTAAAATCTACTTTTCATCAGTAACTTCTGAAAGTGAGTTCAAGTGGCTCACAACAGACAGTTGCAGTTCCAACTGGCAATTTTATTGTCAGTGAATGCAAAAATCTTAGTAAGGTGAACAATTTTGAGTTGTATTTTTTACAGTGTAGGTTTCCTCCGGGTACTCCGGTTTCCCTTACCAACAAAAAAAAACATGCAAAATAGGTCTGTATGCACCTCCTGTATGGTGACCCCGCTCCCATGTGTGGAGTGAGAGGACAAATAGCCACAAAAATTGTAAAGCGCTTTGTGACTCTGGTCTGTGAAAGGCGCTATATAAATAAAGATTACTTGTTTACTAAACAAAAAAAATGCACATTCTATTCTACCTCATGCAGTTTTTACCTAATTTAATATACACCATACTGTATTCTAAGAAAGGATGGATTCTCTCACACATTTATTCATTTATCTGCAATGTCCCTTCTGAATGTCAAAGGGAACATGTCAAATAGGAGATTAGTTTATCATAAAGAACCGCAGTATCTGTTTCTGTTCTAGGGGAAAATGACAACGATAGTCCAGTGAGACGTGCACTGAGAAGAGCAGAAGCACGTCCCAAAAATCTGGCAAGAAGTCTGGAGGACATCACCGCATTTTCCAGTCCACGTAAATATAGCACCACCTAATATTTCTTTGTTTCACTTTAAAACTTATCCCTATGTAAAGGTGCAGAACGGAGACAGGAGTTGTCTGTGGACCAAAGATCCAGCAGTGATGGTATGGTCGGTGACAAAGGATTTGCTCTTGACAGCATTCTGATTCTGTGTCTCTCTGCTTAGGATCCTCTCTGCCTTCACCAACGTTATTCAAGGACCCTGAGCACATGAAGAAGATGAGCAAATCTGTCCCATCATTTTTACAGAAGGAGGTATTTCAGATCAACATTTTTCATCATTTAGGGCTGAATCTATACAAATGCAATAACTCTTTGCTCCTAGTTAAGTGGGAGCGTGATGACAATGTACAGCGGAGACTTTGGGAACGTTGATGTGCAGGGGACCATTCATTTCTCAATTCATTATGTGCAGAAGCTCAGAGAGTTTCACATATTTGTTGCTCAGTGCAAAGATTTGGCTCCGGTTGACCCCAAGAGAGGCCGCTCCGATCCGTGAGTTTAGCTAAGACAAGAAAGAATGTTTTTTTGTTTTCTTTGCATGGAAAAAATGATATGCCTATACTTGAATTCTAAAACATTCTTTCTTGATGATATTTTTATTACTTGAGCTCTCTCTCTGAATGACAAGCTACAATAAATAATTACTTTTTTTTCCTAAGGTATGTCAAAAGTTACCTGGTCCCAGACAAGGCTAATTTAGGCAAGAAAAAAACAGCAGTGAAAAAGAAGACTCTTGATCCAGTATTCAATGAAATCTTGAGAGTAAGTTGTTCATTTTATTGTAACTTTCAAGTAAGAGGCTACATTGTTAATCATGTCACGTTGACACTGTATTTTCTCATCAGTATCGAGTTCGCATGGAGTATCTTAGAACACAGACTTTAATCCTTTCTGTGTGGCATAATGATACTTTTGGAAAGAACAGTTTTCTGGGTGAAATAGATGTGGACCTCTCCAAGTGGGACTTTGACCACGCCCAGATGAACTACTTAGCACTAAAGGCCCGGGTAAGACATGAAATCCACCCCCACGCACACACAAGGCAAGCTGCTTTATTTCTATTTTCATGTAAATAATAGAGGATTGTATAGAGTTTAGACAGCTCAATGCAGAAGGTTAATTTGAGATGGTTATATCAAATGCACAAGACAGGTATAACGTACAGCTTTGCATGGAAACGCTTTTGTAATACATTTGTCATGTTTTTTGGGTCGTTTTTAGACTTACCCTACTCTCACCCCTCCAAACTGCAGAGGGGAGATGAGGGTAGCCATACGCTATGTTCCACAGATAAGCCCCAGTGATGGTAATAATGTGTTTTATAACTTTGTGCACATAGGATAAATGCAATAAATGCATTGTGTTGTTTTTAAAGCTTTGGCCAAAGCTGGCTCCAACAGTGGAGAGATTCACATTTGGGTTAAAGAGTGCAAGAACCTCCCAATGGTCCGGGCGACCATCGACCCTTATGTGAAGTGGTACGGGATGGAATACTTGGCGGTACATGCGTGCCCCTTATGTCATTTTTTCATTATACAATTGTGTTTGCTGCAGCTTTGTCCTGCCAGACACAAGCAAAAAGAGCCGTCAGAAGACCCGCGTTCTGCGTGGTACGTCTGACCCGGTGTTCAACCACACCATGGTGTATGACGGCATCCGGCAGGTGGATCTCACTGAGGCCTGTGTGGAGCTCACGGTGCTGGACAGAGATAGACTGGCCACCAACCTGCTGGGCGGCCTCAGGCTCGGAGCAGGCACAGGTGAGGCTATAGTTGATAGTTGATCATATTGTCAAAGGAATGAACCATGCTTATAGGCCTAATAGGGAAGTGCTCATGGAGGAAGTTTTTCTCTCACTCGCTTTGGCTCCAATTGACTAAAGCAATTTGTTTGTATCAAACTCACCAATGTTGGCTTAAAAATCTGTGGTCTAATGCTTAGTATGGTGTTTTTATTTTGGTATTGTCTTTGTAAAACCATATATGAGCCCTTACAACTGAAGAATTTTCTCCAATGTAGCAAGTATTCAAGCGGTTTCCGATCTATGCTGATCCTGATTGGCTCTTTAGTATTCACACTGATTAGATTTGGCTATAATTGACTTCTTCCACACCAAGATAAGATAAGATAAGAGATCCTTTATTGATGATTTTAGTATTTACTTATTTACAGATGAGTGACTTACAGGCTCAGCAGTTCTCATTGTACAGTCTGACAGCAGCAGGAAGGAAAGACCTGCGGAACCTCTCCTTCACACCGCGAGGGTGAATAAGTCTGTCACTGAAACTGGTCGTAGTTCAAACACTACAAATGACCCCAGCACTCAGTTAGTCCACTCCTATTTAGTAAGACCTAATTTTATTTATTTATTTTTTTTGTTATCAAGATTCTACTGTGTGGTTATCGTTTTTCTTCTAAAACATCAGAATACCTGTTGTCACACAAATAAGACCTGCGTTACATCAGGGGCTGATGTTACATGAAGAACCACTGTGGTTAAATGTGATGGACATCTGCCCGATTCAGCTCATAAAATCATACACATTTACAAACTTTATAAAATAATCTCAAAATATAAACAACAATCAATGTCAGAATTTAAACTCTGTATCAAAACTCAATATATAAAACTCAGTCATACGTACAGCTGAAAAGAACAGTTTTCAGACTGGACTTTCCTTGTCTTGGACAATGCCAGAGATGAGGCCTCCTGTACATCTTTAGGAAGCATGTCTAGACGCTAGAGTCATGCACTTGTTTGGTCCTGACTCTGGGCACCAGCAGGAGGCCAGTCTCTGTGCTCCTCAGAGTCCGAGGTGGTTCATATGTCACCAACATGTCTCGGATGTACTTTGGCGCAAGGCCATGGAGAGACTTTTACATAAGCAGAGCTGCTTAAAGTCTATTCTCTGATCCACAAGAAGTTAGTGCAGAACTGAACTAATGTGATGGTACCAAGTGGTTCTTGTTGCTCTGTTTTGAATATCCTTTGGAAAGCCCAGTGAGCAGTTACAGTAGACCAACCTTCTGGAGAAGGAATTATTTTTAATTCTGGCAATGTTTTGTGTTCAGGTCCGAGTCCATTGTTAACCAATAAGAAGTTGATACATTAACCTTTGATTGGTTTTAAAATCATGCTGGTATAAGACCATTTTTTTTTTTTTTCAGGATAAAGTATTTCACTGGATGCATATCAATGAACTTTTTTGAAAATCAGACACAAAATAATAAAACTTGCAGGCCTCTGAACATCCAAATTTGATCAAATGTATTGATGAATTCTTATATTTGTTGTTTTATATGTTCAAAGGTTTACTCAAGTTCACTGCCCTTTACAACTGTTGTTTTGTAAAAAGCAAACCCCACTAGCACTATTTTAGAACAAACATAAAAGAATCTATCAAAGGGCAAGGGTTTTCTATGGATCTCTGATACGGGTTTTACCTCAGATGGAAAACGGATAAAGTAGTGATTTGATTCTGGTCTGCATTTTTGCCTATAGGCAGAAGTTATGGCTCGCTGGTGGACTGGATGGACTCCACGCCGTATGAAGTGGCTCTGTGGGAGCGCATGCTGGCTTCTCCAAATGAATGGATCGAGGACGTACTTCCATTGCGCTGGCTCCACTCCACAAAAACTACATCCAAATAGAGTCACCTTATTACACTTACAGGAACACGCCATTTATAAAAGACACTACAATGTATCCTGTTTATATAATATTTCTATCCAAACCACTATTTTGAAATCTTATCATAAATGCTGTCTTCATCTCATTAGAAAACATATTTGTATTTTTGACTATTTGAGCTGAGTTGAGGTTGGCCCTCTCTGTTCCACTTTTCAGTCTGAAAAAGCTGACGATTGACAGATCAATCTTTAAAACCAAACTGTTCAGAGAGCGACGATCAGATGATTTCTTTTTACTCTGTTACATTTTTTTGTGGCTTAAAGTTAGGAAACCCAGCTTTAACTGACATTTGTTACGCATTATGCTTCAGAGAGTATTTTGTTATAATTCTATATGTTTACATCTTTTAACACATCACTTACGTCTTTACGATCAGCAAACACATTTACAACACCAAAGAATTTAAATATATTGTGTAAATTACTTTAATATTTTTTGCTTGTATCTTCACTGTTTTAACCTCACCTATTTATAATAAAACAGTATGACAGAAAGTCACAACTGTTTTTGATCAATTGATTTATATTTCATTACAATTGATATTTTTGTTTCACCCAAATCATTGTGCTTTCAAACAGAGCTTCACTTTAACGCCAATGTGAGCGCTTTGAATTAGCTTCATCTAGAGGACATATTTGTAAGAGCAACACAGAAAACAGCGTTCATTGAAAGTGATGCTGTATATTTTATTGTTTCAAAAATGTAAAATTCCATGTGCAATTCACATCTGCCAAAAACATGCTTTGGTTTGATTAACATGGCATCCTTTCACTAACATAATACTTTTCATGCAACAAGTAAAAACATTGTGACTGATTAAATCACTGAGAATCTTTTATTTCCAGCACCTGTACTCTTAGATTTCTTTTTAGAGATGATAAAAACATGACCTCATGATGCGAATGACAAATCGTATCTATTATCCCTGACACTTTGGTCAAAACGCGATGCAGTCTCCAGTTTAGAGCCTGAGTTTATGCCTGAGGTTCCATGTGAAATAAGCGCCCATCACCACTAAAAGCAGGGAGAGAATGGCCACACACACAATCACAGCCACCACCGGGCTGCTGTAGTCGTCCTGTGAAGCCACAGCTGTGAAACAAGACAAAAAGTACATTTAACCATGGTTGGAGTGTAATATGAAGCAAAGCACACAACAAGAGCCAGGAGTTACCTCGATCATATATGGCACTATCTTTATCAGCTGTAGAGGAAATAAAATAACAGATTCAATTTTTAGCAAAAACTGTGCCAAGCCATTTTGCAGTAATTCTAAAATGCTGTACTCACACATGACATGAGGGCCCACAACAATGAGTGGTGAGGTGACCATAGCACTTCCATCTTCTGCCTCTCTCCGTCTTCTTTGTCCGCCTGTTTCTGAACAGACCTGTCCATATGTTTGACAAGCACACGTTACAGGTTTCTATATAAACCTTACAATGGCAGAATTATTGGATTGTGACCTACCGGCTTCATGCTCTCACACGCGGACACGTTGCAAAGTCTAGTAATGCAGTGCAGGTAGAATGAGGACACTGCCATGTTCTTGTGTTCCATAAATCGAAAAGCTTCAAACACAAATTTTGCCGTCTGCGAATCTCCATTCTCTTGTAATTGAGTTTGAGGATCAAAATCACAGCTGATTTGGTTAAAGATAGACAAATAGGGTCATTACATGTTAATTAAAGATGAAAGTTTAGTGTTACTTACCCAACAAAGAGGTCATAACCTGATGAAGCTTCTGGATATTCAGCCACTGTTGCAAAGCATCGGTCGAGCAGCACATTAAAACTGTACACACACCACAAAAGAAACGTTGAAGCTAAAATATACAGTAAATATGAAAATCAAACCATGTCTCCTACACACCGGTCTGAAAGATTGGTAGCTCTGACTTCTACAAACACTTGTTTTTTAAGGTCAAGTCCGGAAGTGGGAATGATAAGAGGGGTTGAGTAGGTGTTATCCTGTAAAGAAAACAGGATGACACATTTACACAAATTTAAGTCATGAGATTCTTTTACACACAAAATCTAAGAGGAGCAAACTTCATACATCAAAGAGCCTCATCCTCAAAGTGTTGATGAAACTGCCGTTGTTTTCATTCTGGGCAATGTTCAGTCCAGCCCTAAATAAGAGCAGCTTTAGTTATGATTTTGCTTTGTATTTAGATATTTTGTAGATTTGGGCTGAGAGCTTACAAAAGAATACTCACACATTCAATGCGGTGTTGTTGATGATGTACTGCAGCGGATACTGACAAGAGTACATGTATGTGATCTGTGGTCGGTAGGTTATCAGGCCGAGGGTGGGGTCAGTAGTAACCAACGAACCAGAAATGTTCACAGCCTGAACATTGGAGAACTGAAGAAAGTTCCCAGCCCCAGTAAAATCTAAAATCTGTAGATAGACAAAATTAGACACAACTTTACATGTTTGAAAATGTGAAGGATTTCATATGCAATTTCATTTTCACATACATTGAATTTATTGTTGCAGCTTGAAAGAGATTCTTTATTTAAGGAGAATCTAAATTTGACCACAGGGGGAGAAGCTGTGAAATCTGCTATTCCTTTGCATCCGGCCTGGGTCTGTTCATTGAGAATCAACAAACTCTCATTGTAGTTGGCCTGGTATATGGGGCAGAGGAGGATGCTCAGGTCCATAAACTCTGTTCCACAGGTCACCTCAATGTCCGTGTCCCCTGTTAAGCCAATACATTACATGGAGAACAAGCAACAAAAATCAACAAATCAAACTACATTTATCTTACTTGGTTCTCTGTTTGTGTTGCTGCCAATACACGCTTCTGGGATTGTTTGAGCATCTGTCCTTAGAATCAAGAAAATCAGACACACAAAGATGGCAGCCTTCATAGCTGTGGGATTTGACCTGTAAAAAAAAATTTGAAAATGAGAAGAAAAAAAAAAACGACATATTGTGTATCACACTGATTAAGTCTCACCAGGTTGTGGACATGTTGAGTTGTGTGAGCTGAAGTGATGCGAGGGATGTTTTTATAGAGTGCCTGGAAGGTTCAGGCGGGGGCTCTGCACACGATACTGAAATCAGATCTGGGCCGTTCACTGTGCTTCAGAACACAACAAAAACTATGCACAAAAAAAAAAAAGAAATCATAATGGTAATATTTTCATGATTACATGGAACTGTGTAAGCTCGTCTACAAGAAGGGGTTTGTCAAAATTGGTGTTTTCTGTTCAAATTCCTCTACAGTTCAATTTTTGGTTATTAGTTCCATGCAAAATAATATATATGTATATATATCTGTATTGAACACTGATTTTGTTCCAAGACAAAAAGGACTATGACTATTTACTCGGGTTGTCAATATTTTAAAGTTGCCAAACGTAAAATAATATCCATGTATTTATTTATTGAAAAGTTAATCCCATGTTCTACATGTTTATGTTCCCAGTGTAAATTTGTCTGAACATTAAAATCTAGTTTCATTGCACATATCGTGTATTAACATCTGTAACATCTATGCATATTCCTAATCATGATAGATCTGTAACGAATTTCTGATTATAGCAATTAAGCAATTAATACATATTAACACTTGTAAAAGCAATTATAATGATAGTTTTAATGCATCACACTTTTATACTACTTCTGGCTGGTGTTTTAAACAACTTGTATACACAGAAAGATTAGACACTAAATTATTTTGTATGATATGACATAATTTCTCTTGTTTACAAATACTCAGGGTGTCTGCTGAGTTACTGGGAACCTCACATAATTCCACAATTGTAGATCTATAAGTGGAACTTATGGCAAATCTTTATTGTTGTTTAGCGGAAGGTTGCTTAGGAAACAGAAGTTACGTCAAATGGGCTGGATCCGCGATCTTATCCAAATTATTCTTTTAAAAAATCCTGTATGGATGAACTTTCCAGGATTGTTCTTTATGAATGCAGAATTTGTAACAGATCTGTTTTTGTTATGGCCTCGGGGTGTAAACTGTAAATAGACATTTTGAGCGGTTGTTTAGTAAAGTGCAAATGAAAGACACACCTATCTGAGAGTATTGCTTGGTCTTTGTCAGCATCATGACGCCCATGGTCCCAAAAGGACAGTCCACAATGCACCAGGAGGACACTACATGAAAACGTTGCCTGATGGATTACTCAAGAAGGATCCCATGTCAAATGCCAGTTATAATCTCCTTTGTCCGCTAAATACGTGTTTGTGACTTCAGAGCTCATAGATCCATACTTCAGAGTCATAAATTAGAACATGGACTCATACAGCCGCTTTTGTGAAGTTATTTTTAGGAAACATGGCACAGGTCCCAAGTTAGATTTGGGTCAAAACAAGGAGATGACGCTTGTCACAATAGGAGGGGTCTCTGGGTTCAGGGGATTCTCTCACAGCTAATAAACTGGATCAACTGGTTATGTCACGACAAACTGGAGGGAAATTCAGCTTGCGAAAGTTCACACACCCATGCAGAAAGATTCATAGATTAGGCATTTTTTGCAGTAGTGTTGGATGAGGTTCTTGTCCTTTCTGATGGTAAGTTGGCCCATTCTCTTCGTGGACGTTAGCGGCTTGAAGGGCTGTTTGATGAGCAATGCCCTGCTTTAAAGTGTTGGCTTGATTAGCATGGCTGGCAGGGAGTTGATGAAGCTGATGTGATTAGGGCTGAAACAACTAATCGATTAATCAACGACTAATTGATTATTGAAATAGTCGACAACTATTTTAGTAATCGATTAATGGTTTTCTGGTTCACACGGACTCAAACAGAGCCAAAATGACATGAAAATGTAGTATTTTTGATTAAAACCGACTTTGTTTTTATAATTTCATGAATATCTGTCTGTCTCATCCAATCAGATAGCAGAATTAGCACAAAGAGCCTGTTACAAACATTTACTTAAAGTTTACGCCATCAATACGTCCTCGAGTGTTGCCACTTTAGCTTTTTGTGATGAAAAAATAAGTTTTTTCTACACAATTCACAGCCAAGCGATTACTCGATTAATTGTAAAAATAATCGATAGATTAATCGATCACAAAATAATCGTTAGTTGCAGCTCTAGATGTGATATAGGTTGAGGAAGAAGTGGGCTAGCCTGGTGTGACGTGCGTGAGTAGTCTACCAGTCTGAACTTCCGCTAAGATGCAATTGTGCATTTGACTGTCAGAAAATACGGTATTACATTTTCAAGTTTACACCTTTAATCCAGAAGTAACAAGGCTGTGGCTATAATGACTACTGCCATGGAACTTTTATGTTTTCAAGGCAGTTGTTAATTGTGAGAAAAGTAAATTAAACTGGATACAAAGTTCCTCAAATGAATAAAGGTCAGTGTAACTAATTACAAAGTATTTTTGATTATGGATACGGTTACAATAATTTGTGGTTAGATTTGAAAACATTTTACTTTGAAGGTAGCACTTCCTGTTCAGATGTTATTGTTCCTGTGAGGCGCTGTCATGGATTTGCCGACCCGGCGCCATTTGTGTTGGCATTCTGTGGGCAAAACAATAGAAAAAGAAGCTGAAACGTGTTAATGTCGTGATAAAGTTGAAAATGGTCATCTCCTGCTGGGTCAATGGATGTTCAAATCGTGCCGGAGGTTCCGTTAAACTTGGATTTTACAGTATACCCATCATTAGACTTCATGAATGTGAGAAGACTAAGCTTTTGTCAGAACAACCACGGAGGTTATGGCTTGCGAAGATAAACAGGCAAGAAACTCCCTCAAAACACGCAAGAATATGCTCGGAGCACTTTGTGTCAGGTGCGTATCGTATCTTATAATGTGTTGACAGACGTAATTTACTCAGTACTAACTTGTGTATGCTGATATCTGGTAACTTGAGAGTTTCATTATTTAGCGTTAGATTACTTTATTATGAGGAGGATCGGTGTCGCGTCCGAGGCTCTCGAGGGCAACGTAAATGTATTAAATAGATAATAATAGTTCTGTGGTGGGCTAAAACAATGTTCACAAACAGCATTGCTTCTGTAAAAAGATCTGTGTCATAAAATAAACTGCTCTTTACGCCTGGAAAAATCAGTTGCCCACCATTCACCAAAACATACGGTCAAAAACGCGGAAATAAACAATAACAGCAATCCAGAGTGTCCGTGTGGCATTAGCATTAATTAAATTAATTGTTAATATAATTAAAATAATTAAATGGAGCTCCAACTGGTATTAAATCTAAAGTTTTTGAGAAATGTTTGCATTGCTTGTTAATTTTTGCTGCATAATTTGATCAAATATGTAAAACATGTCCGTAGCACGTTAAACTGTGGTGCCATTGTATTAATATACAATTATTTGCTCAAAAGTTGCCCTTTTTTTCCAATTTGCGTTTGAATATCTACATTTATTCTCATTCTTCTGTTTAATGGAATGCACAAACACAGCAGCGTGCCATCAAAGATGGCGTCTCCGAGGAGGTCATGTGACATTCATTGGTCTGTGGGAACTATGTATTAGCGCTGTGAACGCTGTTTTTTTATTTACCCCTCAGTTCATGAACAAGGTATGGTTATTTTATGTTTTTATTTTTTATATATACAGTGCCTTGCGAAAGTATTCGGCCCCCTTGAACCTTTCAACATTTTGCCACATTTCAGGCTTCAAACATAAAGATATAACATTTTAATTTGTTGTCATGAATCAACAACCAGTGGGACACAATCGTGAAGTGGAACGGAATTTATTGGATAATTTAAACTTTTTTAACAAATAAAAAACTGAAAAGTGGGGCGTGCAATATTATTCGGCCTCTTTACTTTCAGTGCAGCAAACTCACTCCAGAAGTTCAGTGAGGATCTTTGAATGATCCAATGTTGTCCTAAATGACTGATGATGATAAATAGAATGCACCTGTGTGTAATCAAGTCTCCGTATAAATGCACCTGCTCTTTGATAGTCTCAGGGTTCTGTTTAAAGCGCAGAGAGAACCATGAAGACAAAGGAACACACCAGGCAGGTCCGAGATACTGTTGTGGAGAAGTTTAAAGCCGGATTTGGATAGAAAAAGATTTCCCAAGCTTTAAACATCTCAAGGAGCACTGTGCAAGCAATTATATTGAAATGGAAGGAGTATCAGACCACTGCAAATCTACCAAGACTCGGCCGTCCCTCCAAAACTTTCATCTCAAACAAGGAGAAGACTGATCAGAGATGCAGCCAAGAGGCCCATGATCACTCTGGATGAACTGCAGATAACTACAGCTGAGGTGGGAGAGTCTGTCCATAGGACAACAATCAGTCGTGCACTGCACAAATCTGGCCTTTATGGAAGAGTGGCAAGAAGAAAGCCATTTCTTCTTCAAAGATATCCATAAAAAGTCTGGTTTAAAGTTTGCCACAAGCCACCTGGGAGACACACCAAACATGTGGAAGAAGGTGCTCTGGTCAGATGAAAACAAAATCAAACTTTTTGGCCACAATGCAAAACGATATGTTTGGCGTAAAAGCAACACAGCTCATCACCCTGAACACACCATCCCCACTGTCAAACATGGTGGTGGCAGCATCATGGGTTGAGCCTGCTTTTCTTCAGCAGGGACAGGGAAGATGGCTAAAATTGATGGGAAGATGGATGGAGCCAAATACAGGACCATTCTGGAAGAAAACCTGTTTGAGTCTGCTAAAGACATGAGACTGGGACGGAGATTTATCTTCCAACAGGACAATGATCCAAAACATAAAGCCAAATCTACAATGGAATGGTTCACAAATAGACGTATCCAGGTGTTAGAATGGCCAAGTCAAAGTCCAGACCTGAATCCAATCGAGAATCTGTGGAAAGAGCTGAAGACTGCTGTTCACAAACGCTCTCCATCCAACCTCACTGAGCTCGAGCTGTTTTTCAAGGAAGAATGGGCAAGAATTCTAGTCTCTCGATGTGCAAAACTGTTATTCTTATTTTTATTATCTCTTTTTGACTGTTGCACTGAGCCAAAGCAATTTCCAAGTCTGTGA